GCCTCAGCCTCCTAAGTAGTCAGGACTACAGATACACGCCACCATGTCCAGCTAATTTTTGTATTATTAGTAGAGACAGGGTTTCACCATCTTGGCCAGGATGGTCTCGATCTCTTAACCTCATGATCTGCCCACCTCAGCCTCCCAAAGTGCTGGGATTACAGGCATGAGCCACCGTGCCTGGCCAACTTAATCGTTTTTTAACCTATCTTCTTTCATTAAAATATAAGCCTGAGGAGAAAAAGGACTTTTCCCATTTTTGTTTGTACTGTAGCCTCAACACCTGGAACGATGCTTTAATTCAATGAATACTTGTTGAATAAATGAATGAATGAGACATTCTGCTGACTTTTTCACCAAGAGAGACTTTGAGAATCATCATGTACAAACCCCTTAAACAACCAGACAAGGCCAAAAACAAAGAAATGATCTGTCAAAGTCACATTTGAATTAGCAGAATAATGTAGCTAGAACTGGATCTTCTGACTCAGCACAGGGCTGTTGTATAGGCAAAGTCATTAAAACCACCTTTGATTACCTTCCCTAGCTACTCCTTTATTCCTAGCCATTTATGCTAATGGAAAACCTGTGTATATGAACATACTGTCATGACAAAAATAGGAAAGACATAAAAGTATGGGAAGGGGAATATTATGTCTGCGTGTGTATTTAAAATATGTGTGTATATATACATAGGTACCTTACATTGTTTGCTTTCACTTTCAAGAAATAAGAACAGGCCAGGAGCAATAGCTCATGCCTGCAATCCCAGCACTTTGGGAGGCCAAGGCTGGTAGACCATGAAGTCAAGGCTGGTGGATCACCATCCTGGCCAACATGGTGAAACCATTTCTCTATAAAAATACAAAAATTAGCCGGGCATGGTGGCATGCACCTGTAGTCCCAGCTACTTGGGAGGCTGAGGCAGGAGAATCACTGGAACCCAGTAGGCGGAAGTTGCAGGGAGCCATGATCACTTCACTGCACTCCAGACTGGTGACAGAGCAAGACTCTGTCTCAAAAAAAAAAGAAATAAGAGCAAAAACCTGATATGATATGATACAATATAGGAATCTAACTAAGTTGGCAAGTGGCAATGACCTGGTCACTAAGGGAGCTTTTTGTGAGCAACGTTCTATGATTTTTTCTCCCCTAGGGAAGGGGTTTTAGAAAATGTTGGCGCCCCTGGGAAGTAAGGGAAAGTGTGAATAGTTAGTGTTATTTCAGTCTAATTTTTTTTTAATGCCTCAAGTATCTAGGAAATCTTTTGAAGAAGTCAAAAAACGGGAAAAGGGGAAGGAGGAAGGGAGGAGCAGGGGGTGCTAAGTGAGAGAGAATAATATTGATTGTTACATTTAAGTATACATTACATGCATTTCATTAGTTACCTTTTAAAAAAAATCACTACATCAAACTGTGGAACAGCACATATGTGCATCTCAAAGGAATAAAAAATAAAATGTATCACCACACTAAAAGAGTTAGTTTCTTATTTGCTGACTTAGCCACTATATGGATCATCGCCAGTCCACAGCATAATTTTCTTCCAGGAACTACATAAAAACCTCCGTCTAACACGTTCCTGGGCTTTGGGTCTCCATTTCCAATGTTCTAACACACAACGACAAACCAGAATAACTTTACACCTTTCTCAAATAACCCTTCTGATTACAAAAGATTAAACTCAAAAGATTAAAAGGACTAGCATTTCAAAGGAAAGGGAAGAAACACAAAGCAACTAAAGTGTTGGTATCTTAAAAGTGATAAAAAGGAGAGATACGACAGTTTGAATAGCCTCTATGACACAAAGCTTAGCAGCTGTTTTGAATGGGCAGCACACAGACTGCCACAAAGGGGTTCACTCTTGCCACCCGCTACACTGTAAAAGCAGGCATGTTGGCTTTTCCCCCTGGTCATAGCTGCTACTTGATAGATTTCTATGAGTATTTACTTCCTAGTTCCTTCCATTTTATTTTTACCAGGAGTTTAGGCAGTAAGCAAAGAATGTAGGTAACATGAGTAGACGTATTTTGAGAGAAATCTGGCTATCAATAAACACACACTGAAATATGTGCTACTGTCTGGTTCTTAAAGAAAATTCATTCAGAAAAAACTGTTCTACAATAAAGTAACCAAGAAATAGTTGTTTTATAAAAAGAAATTATTTAATATCAAACTATATTTTTGAGATATCTTAAAAAGGAAATTGACCTAAGTTGCAAATATATTGTAAGATTTTATTATTCTAAGGAAACAAGTCTGTGTGTTAATTTGGGGAGAGATGTTTATACACCAACGACACCCTATAACTTATGAAAAACAGACTTGAAAATGATGAGTCACAATTATCAGGAGAGTCCTCTATCTTTAAAAGAATGCAAACTATGCCTTTTCCCACTAGGTTATTCTTGGTTTCTCAGAGTGAACAAAGAACAGACTGTCCTAACCCACACACTGCTCCAACTGGGGACTGGATGCCGATGAACTCTGATCCTGGGCCTGGAAAAAGCATCCCACCATCGCAAAGATAACTGTGCTGACGTCTCTATGGAGGGAAATGCTATAAACTTGTGGGAAGAATAAAGAAGGGAACATTCATTTCTAAGAGGAAGTTTCTCCGTTGGGAACTCAATAAAAATATTTATAGAAATTTCTCATCTTAAAACTATGTTTTTAGTGTCTTTGAAAAAGAAAGCTCTTTTTAAAAAATCCACATAATTTTAAAAACTTAGTAGCAGATTCTATTTTGTTAATCACACTCACACACATGGTTGCTTTTGCTGTACAGAGCTAATCAGTTTCTTAAAACTTCATTTTCCCTTTAGTTTTCTGGTAAGATCAACATATAGAGAAATGATAGTCATTTAAATTGGATATACTGCAGAAGAAAAATTAATAAGTAGAAGTAGGCTTATGCTTATGCTCATTAAATTGCATTTAACCAGAATTTTTAGAACTGTTAAATAGTAATAGTTTTAGTGTCTTTTTTATTTTTTAATTTATCAAGAATGTCCACAACTGAACAGATGTAGCAATGACTTACTGAGGTGAGAAAAACAGTAGGATGAAAATGGGAGTGAAGGATTTGGTAATTTAGTTTTGAACATAAACAGAAAGCATCAATCTCAGCTATAAAGTTAACAGTTCCACACCAGTATTTGAATGTCAGAGATGAGTTTTCATATGATGACTAATTTGGGAATCATTCTTTTTCCAACAAAATAGACAGTATTGAAAGAAATGGAAATAGAATGAATCACAGTTAAAGTAGTTAATATGTAAAACAAAGACAGAACTCCAAGAAAGGCCCACATTGGCTGGGCGCGGTGGCTCACGCCTGTAGTCCCAGCACTTTGGGAGGCCGAGGCGGGTGGATCACGAGCTCAAGAGATCGAGACCATCCTGGTCAACATGGTGAAACCCCGTCTCTACTAAAAATACAAAAAATTAGCTGGGCATGGTGGCACATGCCTGTAATCCCAGCTACTCAGGAGGCTGAGGCAGGAGAAGTGCCTGAACCCAGGAGGCGGAGGTTGCAGTGAGCCGAGATCGCGCCATTGCACTCCAGCCTGGGTAACAAGAGCGAAACTCTGTCTCAAAAAAAAAAAAAAAAAAAGAAAGGCCCACATTGAGAGAATGATAGATATCCATCTCTCTCTCTCCCCTTCTCTCTCTCTCCCTTTCTCTCTCTCTGTCTCTGTCTGTCTCTCGCTCTCTCTCTCTCTCTCTCTCTCTCTCACACACACACACACACACACACACACACACACACACACATATTCTTTATATACTTTTGTCATATTGGGGAAATATGAAATATCTTCCCAGCTCTGGTTTTCCAAAGCTTTTTATACATCAAGTATAGGTAAAGCAAAGTAACTTTATAATACATTGAAAACACCAAATTTGGAGATTAAATTGACATGCCATATACTACAAAGTTAAACAAAATTTATCTTAAAATTATCTTCAGTTTTCAAAATGTCTACACTGGTATTCACCAATAATACAAATAAGGATAATCCAAAGTTGGTCATAGGGTCTTTCTAGTTTATTTAAATATGGTTTTCATAGAAGCATCAAATTTAAATTCATGGAAACATGGCACTGACGCCTAAATCACATGAAATCTGAACTGAGAGGGTAAACCTGAGACTCCGACAGGCAGGTGATTATATTACCCTAGTGTGACTGTGCTTCTACTGTGAATAGCACTAAGAGGAAGAGAAGCAGGAAGGTGATGATGATGATAATGATGAGGACAGCAGCATGTGGTTAAGTGACTGCTTATTATGCATCATGCAGTAGTTAGAATCAGTCAGGGGTTTTCAACCTCAGCACCACTGACATTTTGGGCCAGATAACTCTGCTGCTGGGGACGGTCCTATGCATTGTAAGCTCTTGCTAAGCATCCCTGGTCTCTACCCATTAGACATCAGAAGCATTCCCCCAGTTTTGACAACTAAAAACATCTTCAGACAGTATCAAATGTCTTCAGACAATATCACATGTCCTCATACGATGGAAAGGAGGACACAATCATTCCCGTCTGAGAAGCACTGAACTAAATGCTTTCTATGCATTATCTCAATAAATCCTCACACTTATCCGATGAAGCAGATACTATTATTTTTCTCCACTTTTCAGATCTTGAAGTGCTGAGAGGATAATTAAATCATTGAAGGTCAGGCAGCTGGCAAGCGCTGTTTCACTATACAAATTCCAGAATGTCTGGCTCCAGAGTCTGCATTCAACCATCATAATATATTGGAAAAGGACTAGAAAGGCATGCATTAGAGAGTGGAGAGGACACTTCCTATTTCTCAGAACCACGTAGATGATGAGAAACTAGGTAAAAATCTTTGCCATCTAGTAAGTACCTTACAAGTATAAAGGACTATTATTTATATTTAATACAAGTAAATCAACAGTAAACTGTATTTTACTTAGTAGTGCTTTTCATTTGCAGAAGACATTTTTTGTCTCCCTGGAAAACTTACGGTCCACCGGAAGTTGTTTGTGTCTCTGGCTATCTCGCACGATACTGCCACCACTGTCACTGGAGCTGCTGTTTTGACGCGTTACATTTGCTGGGACCTTTGACACAGGAACAGGTGCTGGGGTGGAAGGTGGAAGCGGGACAGGAACGGGAGCTGGTGTTGGAGGAGGTGATGGAGCAGAGGGAGTATCAGCTGGCCTTGGGCCATACTCCATCCTTTGTTTCTATAAAAAGACAAATAATTAACTTAAAATTTAAAAACTATAAACCTAGGCTAGGAAAACAAATTATACTTTGATAGGACGTTGTTTGTGATCTGTAAACAAACTTGTAAGCCCATTACAAATTTGTCTGTAATCCTATATGGTATAATGATTATTAAAAATCATATTTTAAATATTCTACATAATTTATTCAAAGTCAAAATGTAAGTTAAGGAGTCACAAGGCTATGCCAATAGCAAATAGTATTATAGTAATAAATTTCAAGAGAACTGAATTTGGGTTTGGAATCACATGATACCAGGGGAGGTAGAAAGATTTATAATTTTTTTTAATTTATTCTAATAATAATTTCCAATTGCACTGGAAGTCTAAATGTCAGTATCACAAAACATCACTTACTCATTTTAAATGTATGCTATATTCAAAGATTTTTAATTCTGTTTTCAACAAATAATTTTAAAATGTTGGTTATTATTTTGTTCAAGGCATAACTTTTTCTGCTGTCATCTTAATGCTAACTTATTAAAATTAGAAGTTTCCCTTGTTAAAATGGGAAGGTCATGGGGTGGATGGTTGTGAGGGTAATGGTATGGTCTTTAAATATTTATGACTGCAACTCACAAATACTAGAAAAGAGCCTGTAGGCATTTGTATTTAAAAAAAAAAAAGGTAGATGTGACAAAACGCCTTTTTTTTTTGAGACAGAGGTTCACTCTTGTCGCCCAGACTGGAGTGCAGTGGCACAGTCTCAGCTCACTGCAACCTCCGCCTCCCAGGTTCAAGGGCTTCCCCTGCCTCAGCCTCCCAAGTAGCTGGGATCACAGGCCACCATGCCCAGCTTATTTTTTCTATTGTTAGTAGATATGGGGTTTTGCCATGTTGGGCAGGCTGGTCTAGAATTCCTGACCTCAGGTGATCTGCCCACCTCAACCTCCCAAAGTGCTGGGATTACAGGCATGAACCACTGAGCCTGGATGACAAAATGCTTTTCAATAATTTTAAAATCATGAATGTTAGGCATACCTATAAAATAGTATTTGTGCATATTCCTTATTAAAATACAGATAATAGTTTAAAACAAATCTAAACAAAATAATTTTAATAGTTAACCCATTGTGAGAGGCTCCAAATTCTCAAAAGGTACATTTTCTTTTTAGAATCAAAGATATAGAGCAATTATTTGTAATTAAGGCAAAGTCTAGATACTGCATGGCACAACTGTAATTATTCTAATTTAGGATTGGCATGTTACATGCAAAAAGACCTTTTGGTAATCTGGTCCTTTGATTAGAACAGTATCTACTTTTAAATTCTAAAATGGCCCAAATATCAGGTACTACTGATTTTAAGAGAGTCCTCCCAATTTCCACAGAGATCAAAAACAAAAATACACACCACACACAAACACATCACTTTTTAATTAAACTATTACTCAAAAACAACACATCAATCTCCATCATAGTCACCTTCATGGCAAATGACTGACACCTGTGGAAACCGGTGTAGGGAGGAGCCCTCATTCTTTTCTGCTCTTTCTTTAAAAGCTACTACTCACTGACCAGTAGGGTGGGGTCGAGGAAGTGGGAAGTGTATTGTGAAGGGATGGAGGTATATCTGAAGGGAGTGTTTATAACGCTGGCAGATACTGAGGGAAGAAGGAGGGCATGGGGAAGGAGGAGGACAAAGAAGAGAGAGGCAGGACTGCAGGGAAAGAGAGTAGATGGTAAGATTCTCAGAGTAAAAGAAGGGAGTTAGATGGGACAGAAAGTGAGTTGCTAATCCCCTTAGCATTCAAGGCTTAGAAATATTTCTAATGTATTCAATACTGTATTACAAAGAAAGAATGAATTATTATTATTCCCCACAAAACAATCTTCCTATATTTGGGCCAATAAAATATTTAAAGCAGTCAAAATACAGCAAACATCACGAGGATGTAATACTTAGCACACACCAAAGTCATCTTATTAATGTACAGGCAACGCTCCCTTGACAAGAATGTCCTCTGCATGTAATTTCATAAAGGGCTAATAGATTCTCACATTAGTGTTTCAAAAGCATCATAATTTCAATTATTGTTTTTAAAGCTTACACAAACAAAAATGCCATGAGCCCTGCTTTTCATGACATTATTCATCATTTTTGCTTTTGCTATTCATCAAATACTATTGTGAGAAAGTGAATAAACTGTTACTGTCACAATCAAGCCTGAAAACAAACTCACCAAATGTTCTGTGCCTTATTTCATTCATGTCATTGTTACATAATGCAACTTTATCAGTACAACCTAACAAAATAATAGGTTTAAAATACATATTTGATTAAAGAAAACCCATATGAAAATGCATGCCATAAATTCAATTTACTTGCATATTTTCCTTTTTCCTTAGTCCTGTCTTCCTGCTCCATGTTTCCAACCTCTGACATGAGAAAGGGGGAAGCACCTTCCTTGAATCGTGAACTGGTTCTGAATGGCAACCAAGACAGCTCTTTCATGGAAACTGGTTTGTAATTCTTCACGTGGAAGAAAAAGAATCAGCACTGACTCCTAATGTCGCTTTCTGTGTCCCTCCCTAGCTTCTCTACTCCTCTTTACCTACCACCCAGCTACGGCTCTTCCTTTCCTCATGTCTGCCTCTTGGCTATTTTTGTTGAAGCTACAGAATCTACGATTCCAGTGTACCTCAGTTTACGGAATGTCTTAGAGAACAGAAGCGCACTCTGAACATTTTTCTCCTGAACCAAAGGTACTGAAGCTCCAAATCCAAAAAAAAAAAAAGGAATCCTGACCAATTGTCCTTGGTTTGCCTGGGACTTTCCCAGTAATTAGCACTGCAAGTCCCACATCCTCACAAACCCCTCAGACTCCCCAGGTAGGAACCAGAAGGGTTGGTCAACTTGGTTGGATCTACTTTTGCACATGGTTACTTCCTTACTCTTGCCTGTGATCTCCCACACACAAAGTTCTGTTAAAAGCAAAATCTCTTTTTGTCTCTCTTTCTCTGAAAGAAGTCAGAATTACTAGACCTCATAGGAAATTCACTTTCCTATTGGTAATTAAGTTGGAATGAGTCACTTTAGCAACGTAAGCTGAGTATTAATTCTAAAGAATTAAAGAATGCTACTGAGGGATAAGCTCCTGATTCATACAAGACGCTGCTTCAGAGGGGAAATTATGCAAGTAACCTCAACAAAGCCATTAAAAGTGAACTGTTCTTAAATATTTAACCTACTCTGAATTACACATTTTTCCTCTAAATTTGGTTTCTTTGGAACTCTGCAGTGAAAACTAAGCACAGCTGGAACATTTGGAGGGTGTTAAATCCAGAGACTGAATCCAAAAAATTATATTAAAGAGAAGTGCCATGAGGGAACGAATGTGGGTTACCTCTGACAGCTCGCCAAGTAATTGCTTTTAGGAAAATGGAGCAAATCACATCAAATGAGAAAATTAATACAGGAAATGGAATTAAAATAATATCAATTATAATTCACCTCAAATATCAGAAAGAGTAAATTAGTCTGACAGTAAAATTACATGCCCACAATCAACCAGTGAAGGAGCCTGTAGATATATAATTAATTCCCATCACTATCTAGCCATGGAAAACTAATCATATAGATTATACCACAGTATAAACAGTACGAAATATTTCAATAGTAACTATTTGTATATTAAAGTAAAATACTAAGGTTTAGGTTTATTTTACTCCGACTGCTCATAAAGAATACAATTAGAATTCATTAAACGTAAGAGTAATTCTTGCTTAATTAGCTGAGTTTACAAAAGGTAATACTGTAGGCATTATCGTCTGATTTTACCGAGCTTTAGTTTTGAACTTGGTAAGAAGCCTGAGGAAACATAGAACATTTAATAAAATGATGTACACGTGCATGTCGGACAGTAATTAGCAATACTTTATATGTGTAAAAATGATATATATATATATATTTAGAGTGGGTACTATATAAATTATCACAAGAAGTCTCTGGGAAAATGTCAATACATGTGGCAGAATAAAAAGTAAACATATGTGTCTAAAAACCATGCCTATAATTAATGAGCAGAGTCTTCTGAGATTAATTTTCAAAAAACAATTCTGAAGAATTAATGGAAGGTTGGTCTGGCTGAAAGAATATGAAGCCATCTTTGGTAAAATGGTCACTCTGTTCAGCAGTATCTAAATGACTGGACTGAGCTTAGAAAACAGAGAGTTAATAACATAGGCTGAAGTTAATAGTGTTAGTGGTTTAGTAGTCACCAGTAGAAAATATTTCCACTTTTAATTTAGGGCTATTTAAACATGTATATAATGAATGAGAAGATTTTACACCTAGTCTAGATTGAGGAGATCACTTAACCGACTCCTTCTATTTCATGACCAAGCACACTGGAGCACAGAGAAATAAAATGCTCTCTTTAAGGCCGCACAGAACCAGGGCTAGAACATTTATCTACCAATGCCTAGATTGGGGTTTTTCTCACCGTATCATATTACAATATCTCGTGCTAGAAAATAGAGAATATGGGAAATGTTTTGTTGAATTCACAAGACCACAGAGACTGGACATTCACAATTATTTGCATCTTGGTAGATTAAGAATATTTCTAATAAATGCACAGACTTAAGAATAAATGAAAAACTTCTTTTAGTCAGTCCGTTGGATATATAAGAAATTAAGATTAGGGAAGGAGGTGTTTCTGCTCTTGGCATATAGCTTGAAAATTTAAATGGGCTTCTAGCAGATAAGCAGTCACCGAGCTAGTGGTCTGGGAATCAAGTCAAAAGAAAGATCAGGTAACTTCATGTGGTAAGTAGCTTACAGATGGGGAGAATGCACCCTGGATATCCATCTATTGCCCAGCTACAATACTACAAAGCCTTGGAATGTTCTACAACAAAATCTTTATCAAAAGTCATGTTATTCTCCATAACCTCTCCTCAGCATTGACTTCCTTTTCTCTGTGGTTTATTTGGTCTTTTATGTCAATATTTTTTTGTAAATTTTTATTATGCTCTTTTTTATGTTTAAAACTTTGTTGAAGCCCAGGGAGAAATGCACTAGGTGGGAATGGCTGTCTTTGCAGAGCTGTTAGAAATCACTTCAAATGTGAGGATATTAAATAGCCTGGACTCTCAGGGACACCAGGTGGCAATTCAATACCTATTCACAGGTGGTGACCGGTATGAGCATCCCTTTATCAGAACAGAATCTCTGACGAAAAGTGTGTGAATAGGCAAGTGCTGCACTTGTGCCCTTTTCCCAGAAACTGCCATCATTTCTATATACTTCTTTATAGGAAATGTAAGGGGATACAAATAAGAGTCACGACTGTGTCCATTTTTTAAATATTTGGTGACTCATAGATGTTGCATGGAAATAGTTTACATCTAATTCCCTTATCTCCATCACTTACAAAATGTTCTAAGTAAATCATATAATTTGGGTTATTTTCCTAAATTATAAAATAATGAAAGAAACCATGAAATCCAGGGAATGGATACATAAGGCAAAAATCAAATTCCAAGGATTGTGACTGATCAGATCAACTTTTATCACAGTATAATGCAAAGTAAAGCTATTCTGAGAAAACCACTTTAAACATTCATACAGAAAAAAACTACGGGTTTATACAACAAAAAGAGATGAGAACCATTTTTTTTTTTCTCCTTGTTTTGAGATGGAGTCTCATGCTGTTGCCCAGGCCGGAGTGCAGTGGCATGATCTCGGCTCACTGCAACCCCTGCCTCCTGGGTTCAAGCGATTCTTCTGTCTCAGTCTGCTGAGCAAATGGGATTACAGGCATGTGCCACCAAGCCCAGCTAATTTTTGTATTTTGGTAGAGACAGGATTTCACCCATGTTGGCCAGGCTGGTCTGAAACTCTTGACCTCAGGTGATCTGCCTGCCTCGGCCTCCCAAACTTCTGGGATAACAGGTGTGAGCCACTGTGCCCACCTGAAATGATAACCGTTTGTAACCAGTATTTTCTAGAACAGTAGAAAGCAACACAGCACTGACTCTGGATCCAGGGTGCTGGGCCCCAATCCTGGCTTCATACAGCCGTATAAATATGGGCAAGTTATTTCTCCTACACCTTAGTTTCCCATGAAAAATGTGCCTCCTTCACAAGGTTCTTGTGGGAATTAAATGAATTTGGATTTGTGAAGTGCTTAAACGATGCCTGGCACAGCATGACCACAGGCCACTGGCATATCTTCTCTGGAGTGGCATATCTGTGAATGCTGCTCTCTGTGAAGGTGAGGCAAACTGAAGTAGTGAATTGTTGCTTGCCTTCTGGCAGCCTGGTACAGGGAGGTAAAATATTTCTGTTGGAAGTTTCTTTACATTTCTTCAAAGTTTTGATATCATTGGATGGAAGACATAGATAGAAGGGAAAACAAGTGTGTGGGCTATATCTGAGGAGGAGAGAGAGGATCACACTGCTCTTGATACAGCAAGCATGTAGGAAGGAGGAAAGCTATGAAAAATGACCTGTGGACTCATGCAGGCTTTCCGGAAGGATTTGCTCAGTGCTAGGCTTTCTATTGTTCTTTTTAACAAGTGTGTGAGATGCTAGTGCTCAATATGTATTTGTGGAATGAGTGAATAAAAAGATAAGACATAAAATTGTAATCCAGTTGAGTTTTATAAGGTTAGGGTATTAGGATCAGTGGAATCTATATAAATATGGTGGTATCTTAATTATGTTTCTGAAATAAGTTGCAGGATTTTTCCTTAGACATTTTAGATATGGGTATCTGGTGACACTGTCGTAGAGATATAAAAATGTCTGGTACGTGTTTCCCAAGGATGTTTTCTTTTCCATTTTACTCTATTCTTTTTTAAAAAGAATTTGTTATAAATGTTTTGGGAACAGGAATCCTTTTAGAGTAGGATTTATGCCAGATAGCAGACAGCAAAGCAGACTGTGAAGCTTGCTTATTAAAATTTTACAAGGTCTTAGTGGTTTTGTTGAGCTCAGCCCAAAATTTTCAGGAGGTGTTAAAAAGCAGATTGTTTTTCATACATTTTAAAAGCAGGGTTCTCAACCTGAGCAGCATACGCTTATGCACACATACAGAAAGTTTCTGTACACATGTCTACATACACCACTACATCTGTAGTTGCAACCAGAACTTTGTAGAAGATAGTAGGATAGTGTTGAAAAGTTTAAAATGAAATAGCCATATAGGCAGTCCCTGTAAGAACCACAAGCTTCTATTTACATAAAGTAGCAAAACAAACTCCTGAAACTTGTGAACTCTTAAAAAAACTTCTCGGTTGTGCCAAAGTTGACAAAAATAGAGATGAGGTTCTGTTTAAGAAAGGAGTAGGTTTGACATGCTCTGAAAATACTTTCACTGTCTATGGCGTATATGAATAGTTTTGGTTCAATTTTAGACAGAAACAACCTTTAAAGAAAAGTCAACTTAGGGCTCAAGCCAAGAACCAGAATGAAAGAAAAAGACAAGACGGAACCATACACAGCAAAAGGTAAGAGAGATCAAAGTCTAGGAAGTATCAGGTGGGAGAAAATACTTACTAGAATATTTATATAAATTCTATGTATATGAGAAATAGTATAAATAGAATTTATACTATTTGCATGCTTAAATATTTTATTTTATCAAAGTTTACTTATTCTTAGCAACCACACACACAAATAAAACAAATTTGGATAATGGTTTTCAACACTTAAAATACAAACTCTTGCCTTCTGCTCACATGTGGGAATCAGGGATATCCTTTATGAATAGTGCTTCTCATAGCTTAGCATGAACTGCATATTAAAATTAGTTCATACAGCCCAAAGCTATGTACTCTACCATTATTTTAAATATAGGTTTCAAGCATATACTACCTCTGTAGGAAAGAAAATGAAGAGCTGGTATTCATGAACCAGACAGAAGCCTACATTATGTTACGTAAACAGATATTACACTCAGAAAAGTAGAAACGAAGAAAAGAAAAAGGTATAAAAACTAAGAAAATTCACTTCAAAAACCCACGGAAATGGAGGAGACCATACCTTGAATAACTCAAACTCCTTCTTTGGCATCAACAGCTAATGACAAATCATGAACATAAAATAAGTACATAATATATATGCACATCGGGCCAGGCAAACATAATACAGCAAGAAGTTTCCATTGCCATCACTTTAAGTTATCGCGATAAACTATACATGAATTCTTTAGTTTGAATATTTGCTTGGTTCGTGGATTCTGGTAAGGCCAAGTCCATCTGGATAAGCACAGGACTGACACCAGGCACGAGTATCATGAGGAGCCATAAGTACTGAAATAAACTGTCATGGCAGCAGATATGACCACAATTCCAGCTTCAGACTACCTGTATTTTTTAAAGCCTAGATCTGGCATGAAAATTAACTATTTCACTGCATATTCTATGCAGCTTCTACTGAAATTCATGACATTATTATGAGGTCAGATGTGAACTTTTTCTTGAGACTCTGAAAATAAAAAGAATTCTTTCTGGGGGAATAAGAAAGAAGCCACCCCTGGTTCACAGGCTGTCCCGGAGAGTCCATCCAGTCTGTCTCTGTTTACAGACCCGACTCTAGAGAGCCTGTCACAGGTCTAAAATCCCTGATTTAAAAGCAAGTTAATTCAGATGTTAGGGTGAATGAGCTGACCAGGGTCATTGAAATTTTGAAAATGTGGCATGGGTCTCAAGAATAGACCTTCATGGGCCTTCAATGATCAAGAAGAGAGAGCCTGACCTATCTAATCTACATCATAAGTACATTTTAATCTTAGAATCAAGAGACGAAAAAATATTGTAATCCAACTGAACAAGTACTCATATATTAGTGCAAGGTGAGATGAGTGCAAGTTGAAGGCTGGTCGGTGGCAGAACATGTAAGAGACTGAAGGCAAAGGCTGGTGAAGATGAACTGCTGGACATCAAGCCATGATCTCAGTGCCGTGCTCTATCAAGAGGGAACTACTGGTGGATAGGACAGCTGTGGGTTAAAAAGACAGAAATGCCATTTCTCCAAATGTCAGAAATACTATAGATTGGGGGAAAAAGCATTCAGAGAACCGGGCACCTACTGCTGAACATTTTGAACAATTTCTAGAAGTAAATCAGAAAACATATGTGTAATTTTTCCCTGTGTCTCTCACCATTGCCACCCCTGCCAATTACTCTAGAAAAAATATATAACCAACTACATCTCAAAATGATCTATACATAAGGGTGTTTAAATCCTCTTTAAGAGTGATAAGTTTGTAAATGTGTACACATCACATTTTACTAAGAAATCATGCTTACCTGTATAGTATGAGTATAAGGTGGATCAGCACGCCCCAATCCAGATTCAGGAGGTCTCACAATATCCAAAATATTATTTGGCACAAATCCAGAGTCTCCACTTGCATTTCGAACTTTCCACCACTGCTTTCGATCATCAAGTATCTGTTATGTGCAGGAAAGTACAGGTGTGATTTCCAAATAAAAGCCATTCTATGAAGGAACTTCCCTAGACTTCAACAAAGAAAATTTTCCACTTCTGATAATTGACTCAATGTCAATGTAGGGTTGACTGAATGATTCTCATGAATTACACTAAGAAAGACATTTATGAGGTAAGGTATCTTTATGATGAATGTATCCAAGGTCAATTTTACCTCCAAAGAATGGTCTGCCTCATTTGAAGTACTTAAAGAGCACTAAAATGACTCTTTTGGAAAGCTCATTGTCTCCATTTTGGTGATGAAAAAAGTGTAGAAAAATGACTTTTTTTCCTTATAATTTATTGTGACAATCCACCTTATATATTTAAGAAGATGAACTCTCAGTTAGAACCTAACAAAGAGAAGTTGGTGCTGTGGTGGACTATCCCCAATATCAGTAGCTCACTGACTGCTGAGTACATTTGTGCAAGGGCATAGGATAAAAAAAGAAAATGTTTTCTCTAACTGAACTATTATGTGTATCCACATCTGAACTGATAACTAGCCTTGACTCCAAAATGGATAAATATCAGAAGAAAGAGAGCAAGGAGGAGGGCAAAGGAAGTTAAAAAAATCCACCCCCTTCCCTCCCTACAAAAACCAAACAAAGGAGTATTCTAAAGCGACCCCCTTAGAAGGAATACCTTCTACATAGATGTAGGTATCGCTAACATACATCTTTAGTAATATAATACTTTTGAAGGAAAGTTTAGATATATACCAAAAGAGTAATATAATAAAACTACTTTATTAAGAGTATAAAAGAGAAAAAATTCTATTACCTCTAAAAGATCATCCTTTAGAACCGAGAGCTCACTGTTGTTCCTTGCTACAAAGTCATACTTGGATTTGGCATATTTCTTGGGTTGTGTTTTGAGTGGGTCATAATTTCTGTGAAAAGAAAGAAAAAAGATTATTTTTCTGCTAGCTCTTCCTAAAGAATAAAAACAGAAGTAAAACATTAAGCCAAATCCTACCAGAAAACTTTCTGAAAAATTATAGTAGTTTTATTTTATTACATTTTAAATTATGAGAAATAAAAGTGACTTAAAGTTCTTACTAATAAAATGAGCAAACTATGGCCAGGGGAAAAACAAATAATGCAAAATCACAAGGCTTGTTAGTACTTAGCCAAATCTAGAATCCAAGTCTATGAATTCTTTGTCTACTAAATACACATACTGGATGTTTGTTAATTACCATCTCTACCATGAGAGAACTAGATAAAGATACATGTTAGCATTTTTCATAAAATTAAAGGAGACTGAAGACAATTTCCATAGTGGTTAATTTCGGTTATATGTTGATTTCACTAATCCAAGCAATGTCTGCAATTCAGTAACCAAATATATACATTTAAAATTTATAACTAGGCATCAGTTTTTAGAAACACTTTGCCCAGTTATCTAAATTGCAAAAGGATAGATAGGCATTAAGTACGAGGCTAGTAACACTTGCAAATAAATAAGTAAACAAATAATTTAATTCACTATAAACTTTTTAAAAGTGCATGGGCCCTATTTTTTTTTAATAAACCTTTCTTTAAAAACCAAATACCTCTTCTAATCATTAAATGAGTACTAATAGATTTAACTTAATTAAAGATTACTTTTATATGTAGCACAATACACTTGATACATTAAACGTGTGTATTTTCTTCATACATTTCAATAATAAAATTACTTTAACTCTTTATTAATTTTACTCCCCAGTCTTCTCCTCCAATTACATTCTCACATTTATTTACACATTTCTACAAAGGAAATAGCACACAAAGACTGAAGATGTTAGGTCATCATACGCCTGTCAAGTTGCCATTCTTTTTACTGTCTACCAAGTTCTCTGGAATGTTGAGTTATACCAGGGCCTGCAGGACAGTTTTAGACATAACGTATCCTGTCATCACAGGTTTTTGCTACCTCTTAGGCACTAACTCCACTGGAGGAGGGAGACAGGGACAAAGTAAAAAGATGACCTGCACAGAACACCTTATAGATAAGCGTGTACAAACAACCTATTGGCTATTTTTAGTATATTAAAAAGAAGATTGGTGGCAAAGGTAAAATTATGACCAAGTAATTATTATGTTATTAATAATAATAATTTTAAAACTGTGTTCCATATTTTCCCATCCCTATCCCTACTGGAATAGCTCTGCTTTTATTTACTTTATATATTCACATTCAATCTACTAAGATTTCATTTGGGAGATAAAAGAGATTCAACCAACCCAAACATTAGGAAAACAATAATTTCAGTGTTTTATCTTCTTCTCTTCCCTTATGTTCCTTTCTCCTGTGATCTTCAAAATAATCACTATTCATAATGGAGAGTTAAGGGTCTGTAACAAAGTTTGTGTTATTTTGCATGTCTCAGAAGTGTTTACCTGGCATGTACTTAGGAAGTGTTTTAGAATTTACAAATCTTTATGGCTCGCAGTTTCTTGCCCTCTATAGGTAGAACATGGATAGAACAGGAACCATAGTTACCAATCAGATAATCACAATTTGTAATTTTTCAGAGGTAACAGTTTCTTGGCCAGGAGCAGTGGCTCATGCCTGTAATCCCAGCACTTTGAAGGCTGAGGAGGGCAGATCACCTGAGGTCAGGAGTTCGAAACCAGCCTGGCCAACATGGTGAAACCCCATCTCTACTAAAAGCTGGGTGTGGTGGCACATGCCTGTAATCCCAGCTACTCAGGTGGCTGAGGAGGGAGAAATGCTTGAAACCAGGAGGCGGAGGTTGCAGTGGGCTGAGATAGTGCCATCGCACTCCAGCCTAGTAGGTGACAAGAGCAAAACTCTGTTTCAAAAAAAAAGAAATGGTACAAAGTTTCTTAAGAGCTATGAAATGTAACAAAATGTATGGGCTGTTTCTGATTTGGAATAATAAATATGCCACCTGACAGAGAGCAGACATAGAGACAGTAGCAATTTGAGAACTTCTCTAAAATACTAATTGTATCTGACAGCAGTAAGCTATAAAACCCAAAGGTGTGGGCTCTAAATTCAACAGTCTACCTAATGGCATAGTAATTTCACAGAACAGTGAACATACTTCATATGGCATTGTTAAGCTAAATATGTCCTGAGAAACCCTCTGTACTTCCATACTGGAGTCCTGTGGACAAATCGGAACCTAATTTAGTGGATAGACACGTTGAAAACCCAACTTAGGAGTATGTTTTTGCAACAATAGCTTGAGTGTTCAAATAAGGCAAGTGACAAGCTGTAACCAATCCAGCTGTTTTCTGTATGTCACTTTCCTTTTTTGTCTATAATTTGCTCTGACCATGAGGCATCCCTGGAGTCTCTCTGAATCTGCTGTGATTCTAGGAGTTGCCTAATTCATGAACCGATTTTTTTCCCTTGCTCAATTAAACTGTTAAATTTAATTTGTCTAAAGGTTTTCTTTTAACCGAATCTACCGCATTCCTGGTATATAATAGAGTTTAAGGTCAATCATAATTATTTATAAAAACCAATTTCAAACCTCTGTATATTTTATATCAGACCAAAATTTTCAGATAGTTTTTCAAAATGATGACACATTTTCTTGGCAACATAGAACATCAATGATTCACGTATTTATTAACTATCCTAGCTCCTATTAAGTTCAGCTGAGACCTGGAATCCATAAGAACATCTGAGATATAAAATCTACCTACCACTCAATGTATTCAAATAAAATTCTTTCTATGGTGAAATTCTGACCATTCTAAATTATTATCCCTTCATGGAATTTCCTTCACTGTATTCTATTTAAATTTCTATTTATCAAAGCAACCTTATAAAATTTACCACAGCCTTCTCTGCGGTGAGAGAAAAAATATTGTTAAAAATAAACATCCCTGACATCACCTATCCTATCCTACACTGAATTTCATGAGACAAATATTATTGAGAATTTATGATAAGAAAAGCATTTTTTTATCCCAGTGAAAACTGATACTTATTCCTTTTCCTAACGATAGCAAATGATTATGTTTCTCTTTTTGTTCTGACAGTCAGAAATCTGAAAGACAAATCTGAAATTCAATAATAGAGTCAACTTTTATACTTTATAAAAATCATAATCTTCCCTCTTAACTTCTTAATTGTATATTTTATTACATTATTTCATTTTTAATAATAACACCACTTTAACTGCATATAATTTAAGTGAGCTATGTGAATCTATTTTGGAAGTTGTCTGGGTAAGATATAACTAAACCAATAACCAAAGGTACACTTCCCTGATATTCTATAAAGATCATAAAAATCAAGATAAACTTTTAAAAGACTTTGTGGTGAGGTGTCCAAAATAAACAGCCGAGGTGATTCCATCAGTAACACTATCCCGTATAGATATTCAGGTGCAGGACAGGGAGTTAGTGATTCTGAAGTGTTAGACTCTCATGCACTTATTCACCCTGTCCATCAATCAAATACATCTACACTTATTGAGTGACCACAGTATGCCAGGTCTGGTCTTAAAGTGGAACGTCATAGAAGTCTTCCAGTGTCAGTGTGTACTCTGCATATGTACTCAAGTGGCTTTCTAGTTACTTAGCTGTGGAAAATCATCCGAATTACTGGAGTGATAAAACAAAAAGAAGCCTATTAATCTGAAATGATTTTTAAAATATTGACATCTAAGGCAGAAAGAAAGAAAAAAGAAAATATTAAGATGAGTTCTCAGTTAGTTAAGAAGAATTTCAATGGAATGTTTAAGTTTCAAAACTGATTTTCAACTGCATCTACTAAAAGTTAATTCTATAATTAAAATATTCTCATGTGCTGACATTTAAAGTATATTATTCATTGCCGACTTTTCTTGGTACTCAATTTAATGCCACTGGTGCCCTTGGAGTTACACCTGTGCAATTTCTACAGCAATTACTTAAGCATTACCTGTCAGCATCCCTGACAGAGAAGAAAAATTTTAAATCCCACTTTCTTCAGAATATATTAAGAAAAGAATATACAAAAAAGAAATAAAGGGCATATAGCTCTTGTGGTAAGAGAGGCTTTAAGACAGGAAAAAGTACTAGGCTGAGTTCTCAACCCCAGTTCATTCAATGACCCTCCTCCTATACCCATGTTACCAAGATTTTGCCTGCTTTTCTTCCTCTTTTCTACATGGTTTGGCTCTATGTAGATCTCACTTATTAAAAACAAGACTGGGGGGGAAAAATGAACCTATTCTAGATCCTTTATTTCTTCTCATCCCAATTTTCCATCTCTGCCTATATTTTTTTAAGAGTGAAAATATAGAAAAATAAATGAAATGGAAAACTGTAAACTCAAGATAAAATATAATAAGATGAGATGGCAAGAATGGCAAGGCATTGACTCTGTTTAAATATTTAGTTTATATTCAGTTTAAGTATATCTATCTAATGGAAGCTTTATTTGTTTTTATAGAGTGAGGATAAAGACGGAAACTGTTTCCTTTAAAAGCTACAGAGTTGGAAGGATCCTCAGAGACCATCTGGTACAAACTAATGGAGGGTTTCAAGACAATTCTTTCTTTTTAATGTGCACATTTTGTCAGAAGTATCTTGTAAAAAAAATGAAAAGTCATCCAAAGGCATTTGCACTAAATGAGACTTACAGACTGGAAGTCCAGACATGTTTTGTGGATCAAAACCAGTTATCTTAAGAAACAACTGAAACTTTATCAACTAATTAACAGACGGAAAGTTTAAAGAAGTAGTAGACAATCCAGACACTATCCTCTGTTAGCACGAGATCAGAGACAGTTATCCACAGCTCTCCAAAAGGTGCCATTAAATGTTACCTATCTGCATGGCGATTAGAAGTTGGCTTAAAAGCAACGGCAGCTTCCCCTTGATCCAGATGGGAGCCTCTTGTGTAAGTGTTGCTACTGAAGGCATAGCCATCGGCTGGATGATACTCTGATACACTGGAATGCTGAAAGACAGAGTAGGGCGGATTAAAGAACCACCAAATACTATTTGAATCTGCACTCAGGTCAGTCAACAAGATCTCTCCACTATATTGTGATCAGTTTTCATTTTCAAGTGACTGACCATTATGTTAACAGATAGGAAACGGAAGTGATACATTTTTGTCAAAGACTTACTTATAATAAGAAAAGTCATTAGTGCAAAGGGTAATCTTGCTCTCTCTGTTTAAGACACGTTCACCATTCTAGCAAAGTAAATACTGTCACATGAAAATCAACTGAACTCTATGCATTAAAATTACACCAAGTTCTCATCTTTCTCAATTTTAAAATTATACACAGAACATTACATTATTCTCAATTTTTTTAAAAAATAGCAGCACTATTATCATATTTGCTGTTAAGGGAAACAAAGAAAGGCACAACTAAACTGATCTTGATAGTCAAGAGTCTAGGATAAAAGAATACTAGAGTCATTTCTTTTTTGCAGTTAGGATAATCCAAACAGGAAACTACTGGGAGCTACCAAGTGTGAAGCTGAGGTTTATAGGTCCCACTGACGACCATGGATTTAAAGCTACAGAGCAGCAGTTCCCAAGGGTTTTGGCAGCGAACTTGTTTCAGAGAAGGCAGTTTTTCCATGGACCCCAGGGCCAGGCGTGATGGGGATGGTTTCAGGATGAAACTGTTCCTCCTTAGATCATTAGGTACTAGATTATCATAAAGGGAACCCTCACATTCTCATAGGGTTCTTGCTCCTATGAGAATCTAAAACCTCAGCTCATCTGACAGGAAGTGGAGCTCAGGTGATAATGCTCCCAGGCCTGCCACTACCTCCTGCAGTGCGGCCTGGTTTCTAAGGGGCCACGCACTGGTACTGGTCCATGGCCAGGGGTTGGGGACCCCTGCTATAAAGAATACATGCTCAGATTGAAAGAAAACAAACAAACAGAAACTCCCCAAAGCATTTACATTGTTTCTTTAGATAAAAATTAAGTATGGAAGAATGATAGACACTGAAGCACTGGAATTCCTTGGATATTTTGATTATGGATTTTGTATATTTGTTTATGGATTCATTCAGGCAAAATAGTTGAAACTAAAAATGTTTCAGAAAAGTCTTGGACATCTAGTTACCATAGTTAATTCTAATGACAAAGTGAGCAGGAGAGGGCTGAGTTTATCTATGGACAGAGCAGGTGATGTGTATACACACACAATCAGGATACTTCACTTAATACACAAATACAAATAAACAAGTTTCAGCAGTTAATTTAAAAAAGTCTGAGCTCAATTAATTCAGTTTATCATTTCCCTGGGAAAGAGTAGAGGCACTACATTAAATTAATCTTTAATTAAAAGCTCTTCTAAAGAGGGGAGTGCAAGAAACTGTTAGAAGCACCCACACCTTTTGCCCAGCTCTGAACATAACAGTGAGGTCAGCAGTGTGAAAGCACTGGGTCCTGAGAGTGCCTGGGAATACTGACAGGAAGAAGAGAAAAGTGACTAACTGTGATGACTACCGAGAGTTCAGGGAAGTAAAGAAGCTGAGTACTGCCACCCACTGCATGACACCTGTGTCTTTCAATCCTAAACAAAAATCACCAGATCCTGAATTACCCAAGTCTCGTTGTACATGCTTTTCTTATAGTAGCAATAAAGTATAATAAAATCTCTCTTCTAGGGGTGATTACATTTTTATGCATTTTAACTCACCATTACTTGTCCTCTTTTCCAACAAATCTCAAGGCATAAAATTCCCTGGAATTGCTACATGTGTTTTTCATTTTTTTAAGCCTCTGATTAACTATTTCAGCCATCAAATGAAATATAGTTTACAACAGGAAAACAATAACTCATTACAAGTAAGGATTCTCAGTAATTCCTCTTTTAAAATTACTTATTCAGTGAAAGTAGACAAACTTATATCCTGGGAACCCAGAACACATTACTCTCTTCTTCAATACACAAATTGAGAAAGAAATCACAAAAGTGAATTTCTGAGGCATGCATTATAAAGTGAGTATATTTTCTTATTTAAGATATGAAGGCTATAAGCTGGAAATTTTTTTGATGTGAAAACAGTCAGCAGTAACCATAGCAACAGCAAGTGTATCATAATTTCATGTTTGATTTTATTTTCTTTCCTCCAGAAAAACTGCCCTTTAAATGGAAAGAAAATTCACAATGATGAGGCCTGAACTATGAAATACGGGCAGGGACATATGCTTGCCAACTGAGCAGTGAGGTCATCTTGATTATTCATTTAGAGGGAAGGGCAAGCATGGAATTCGCCTCTTCCCTTATGATACAGCCAGCGGAAAAAAACAATTACATTAGAAAAAAATAATTTCAAAATAACACGTTTGCTTTATTTTTAAAGTTTCAGGAACCGAACCAAGCTTCTATAATAATATTGTTATTGTTTAAAGAATAATCCACAAAGGAACAATTTTTTAAATTTAGATAAATGTTTCACCTTAGAAGTGGTCGGAAGATATAATACACCGTGGTTTGCTAATTCATTCTCTCACATCATGTTTGCCACAATATAAATACCTGTGATAGCCTGAGAAAATTAACCTAAGGAATTAAATAAAAGAAAATAATAGGGTTTCAGGAAGCTCTAGTCATCATTTACTGTTTCTTCTTCAGATTAGACCTCACTCACCTAATTCCTCAGGTTCTGATCATCCTAATCAATGTTCACTGTTCTCTTCCAACAAACAAGAAGAGTCATAGAAACATCCTTTTTAAGGAATGTGACAAGACAGCATACTCAATTTCATTTTCTCAACTTGATTCCCAAATAGGTTATACTCTAAAGCTTACTAAAATACTTAAAAGATAAAATGAGTGTTACAATCTCCTCAAGGTGTATAGTTTTATAAATGATCATTTGAGCTTGAGGACTAGAGTACAGAAAAACTTTGGTCATCTAGCAAGGCTGATAGGACTCCAGAGGTTTAGAACCAGGCAAAAGGAAAGAACAAAAACAAACAGAAGAGAAGAGAAGCAAAGCAACATGAAGAAAAGGTGGAGAGAAATTAAGTAACGGGGGGCATTCAGAAAACAGCTGCTTGGGACAGGTTAGAGGATCTACGTTCAGGGAACTGCCTTGAGGGCCTGATGGAGGGAGAGGAAAATAGAAAGAAGCCAAAGGGCAGTAGCACAAGAGAAAGTCATCCTAAAAAAGCTTACTTAGGATCGCCAGAGCCAGGAGAAAAGTGGCAACAAGGGGAGGGGTGAGGGCTGACAGGCTACAGGAGAGCAATTTGGGTTGGGGTTGGGCTTCACGGAGGAGGAACAGAGCAATTGTCACAAAATGACAGATGCAGCAGAGAGGTAATTCCAGAGAGGGTAACATTCAGACTTTGACTCTAGAACAATTTTCAGATAAATAAAATAAGAACTTGTGATCAGAATTACAAGAGAATACACAAGTAATTACACTGTCTGCCAAGGATAATGTTAAAGAAAACTTTACCTCTGTGGATAATCTTTTCATTTCCTGTTTGCGCTGATGTTCTGCTACATTTGCCACAGACTCTGCTAGTTGATAAAGATCTTGTTCCATTGGTGCTCCTGTAAAGTTCAGCATCGGGGGCTCCCAGCCACTGCGGAACCGTGGAACGTACGGTGGAATAAACTGTTCCTTTGGCCACTCTGCTCTGTAGGAGGGCATTAAGGCATATAAACAGTAACATCTAGGAATGTGCTCATGCTCAGTAAGGCTAGACACACACACACACACACACACACACACAAACACCAAACAACAAAAACAGCATATATCTAATCTGTCTTTCATCTACCCAAAAAGAAAAAGCAAGCATGTTTATACCAGTATTTCACACCAATAAAATGAAAGAAAGAGTGAATTCTGTTGCATGATCTGCTTTCACAACATTGCCTCAATTCTCCATTAAACTCAACTTTTTAACATGGGTATAGGTTTTTAAAAATTTGTTTTAGGGGGAAGATCAGGAGTTCAGTTTTGGACATATTGAGTTTGAGATGTCTATTAGACATCCAAATGGCAATGCTGAGTATCGGTTGGATATACAAATCTGGAGTTCTGAAGAGAGGTCTGAATTTTAAACATAAATTTGAATGTCATTGGCATATAGATGGTGTCTTAGCCTGGGTTTCTCAGAGAGCAGAGTTTGATGATAGTAGGAGGTGCAGTCGCAGAGAGTGGAAGAGAGGGCCAAGGGGAATGAGGTGGGGAAGGAGAGGGAGCCAAAATGAAATGTGTAAAAAAAATAAAACAAAATTATAAAAAATAAATAAAAATTTGCGTTAGAAGAGGGCGTGGAGTATTTAGAGCACAAACTTCTCTAACATTTAAAGTAGTTTCAGACTCCCAACTTTCCCTTCATTCCCCTCCCATCATTATTGAAACCTCCTGGTATTAGATATATCTTTCAAAAGAGAAACAGCCTAGCATGTTCTTAAGCTTTATGATTTTTAAATTTATGAAGTCCCCTAAAATGAAACAGATGGTCAATTTTATAAGTTAAATGTATCAGCTTTGTTTTAATCGGAAAAGCCAACTAATCTGTAATCACAATCATATCAGTTCATCATTTAATGACACCGAGTGAGACTAATTTCTGTAAGATCCTAACCACTCATGAACCACAAAAATAACTAGGCCAAAAATGAGGGCTTCATTTTTGCTAGAATATGTTGCTTCATGCTTCATGTTTAATTCTTCATGTTGTATTTCTACTATTATGAAATCAGTCATTTTATTCAGATTGTTATAGACTTTCATGATTCTTTTTATCTTTACACATTTTTAAATCAGTCAGTACACTCGTTTCCTAGTCATCTTACCAATCAGGATCTAAATGACCCTCTCCACATGTTAATAGCTGACAATATTTCATTTTGATGAAGTTTTTTAAATGGTAATTAATTTTCTTATTTCAAGATAGAACCCTAAACAAAAAAATTAAGGAGCCTGAGCTATATTTGTAATGTGAGACCTGATGCATTTAATGAGCTTCATGAAATTTAAGGATGCCACGTAGGCTTATCATAAAATAACCTATATAAATGTAATAGATTTAAGTGATCTATTTACAATGGATTATTCAGCCATAAAAATGAAAGAAATCTTATCATGTGAAGCAACATGGGTGGAACTGGAGGTCATTCTGTGAAGGGAAATAAGCTAACTCACATGTGGAAGCTAAAAAAGTAGATTTCATGAAGTTAGAATAGCCTGGCAGTTACTGGTGGCTGACAAGGATGAGGCAGGGTAGTGGGGAGATGAAGAGAGGTTGACTAATGGATACAAACATACATTGAATAAGAGAAATAAGACCCAGTGTTAGATAGATCAGCAGGGTAACTAGAGTTAACATTAATCTAGTGTACATTTCAAAATAGCTAGAAGAGAAAAATTGAAATGTTCCTAGCATAAAGATAAATATTTAAGATGTTTAAGGTGATGGATATCCTAATTGCCCTTATTTCATCTTTATAAAGTATATGAATTTATCAAACTATCATATGTAACCTGAAAATATGTGCAACTATAAATAAAGTATCAATTAAAAATTTAAAAGATAAAAGATCTATTTAACCACTTTTTAGAGGACAGTATTATACAGTATATACTATGCTATATTAATACATAAATAATGTAGGTAAATTTAAATATTTTCTATATAAAAGCAACAACTGCAATGCTTTCAAATAATTTTCTGCTTAACTATATTCCAACAGAATCAACTGTCAAAGTCCAAAAAATATGCAGAATAGCTTTTATATGTTTTGACAGGAGAAAAAAAATTATGAATTGGCCCATGACTCTTAGGCTAACCCATTCAAAAGCATTAGGAAGACAAATGTCTAACTGGCCATACTAAATGATTTATTCTAATTGGTGAAATAAATTAAAAGATTAAGATAAATGAGCAAAGCAAAAATTATTTATTTATAATTATGAAATTAGAATTATTTTCTTAACCTTGCCTTGCTCAGCAAGCATTAGTGCTGCAATTGTTAATGACTTATCTTCCATAATCACTTTCTTGACAAGTGCACCATTCTTAAAATTACCCACTCTTCCTTTTCAGTCCCACTGTGACTCTCTGGTCCTGAAGAATACTGATTTAAAAAGGAGGCTCTACTATAACATTAACACCTCAAAAGGCCTCTACCTCCAGTTACATTTGTCCTTGTCCTTTCTAGCTTTGACTACCAGACTGATCTTTCTAAAACATAGATGTAATTATGTCACACTCATAGTCACAAAGATATTGGTTCTCCACAGCCTACAGAACCATGATCCAGCTCCTTAGCATGGGACTGAAAGCCTGCATAATCCTGCCCGGCTCGTCTCTATATGCTCATTTTAACACCATCCTCCTCCCACCCTTCCACACTCAACTGCCACCCAAAGTCCGTATTCCAGAGAAACACATCTTCATCCTCTCTTTTCTTGACTATGTCATGCCTTCACTTCTGCTTCTCTCTTTACTGGACAGGCCCTTGCCCTGCTATGTAACTGTGGAAATTCTACGCATCCTGCTAAAAGGCAGTTTAACAAACTAATGATGAACATTGACTCCAGAGCTACATGGCATGAGTTCATATCCCTGCTCTGTCACTTACAAATTGTGTGACTTTGGGCAAATTAACTTATCCTCTCTGTGCCTCACTTTCCTCATTGGCAAAATAGGGATAATAACAGTACTTATGTAAAGTACATGGACGAGCAAGCACTGTGCGTGTGTGTGTGTGTGTGTGTACGTGTGTGAACTCTATGGGTACCTGTTAATTTTAAATGCCAGCTCTTATTTGAAAGCTAACTGCCCTCCTATCTGAATCCTCTTCCTGATGGCTCCCCCTTGCCAACCAATAGCATTTTGTTTATGACTCACTCCTAATTATACTGCATACACTTCTATCTCCTCCACTAGACTTGTAGCTTTTAGGGTTTAGGCTTTTTCATCCTATGACACTTAGTCCTTTGTACATAGAAGGTTAAAGAAATGTCTCATTAGATTAATGTAATAAACAAAGAATGGTACTTAAGGCGTTATAGGTGGTAAATGCTAAACTCATCTATGCTTACCTGGCTTTCATCCAAGGTCCGCCCAATGACATCCACAGCTGCCGTTCATCACCATTGACAGTGTAATTTAAGAAATCAATTGTGTCCTTAGTCAATAGGGGACTAAGTACTGAACTGGCTAATTCAGGACCTCCTGTTGCCTGCACCACCTAAAATAATAAACCATTTTTTAGTAAGAAGATGACAATTACTTGTATGTTTTCAAAATGTGTAGACAAACACCCATGCCAAAAACAAGCACTCTTTTCTAATAGTCAAACTAAATTTTGACGCTGTGCAGTGCACTACCGATTGAAAAACAGCTTGTCAAATCAACTTCCCAGCCCAGCAGTGCTTTACAATCTAAAATCAAAGTCAACAATTTAACAACTTTCATAGCATCTGCCTATGGACTTTCTCTGGAAGATACTAAAGGCTATGCAGAGAATTCTAGATCAGGTGATTTTACTATCCCTGTTTTGTTGCTGTTATTGTTTTAAATATGTGTATCTCTTCTGGCAAATCTGTTATGCCAAACTTGAAAAATATAGTTCCCAAAATGAATACAACCAAGCGCAACAATACTATCAGGAGTTAGCAGCCTACGGCTGTGCATATACAGACATGCAAAAGTAAAGGATCCAGGGAGGAAGGCGAACCAGGAATGAGACTGATACTCTGAACCTATGGCACCTTTTCCCAGAATTATTTTTAGAAAATTTCCCTGATTTAACATGGATAATTTAATGACAGCAGAAACAAACAAACAGGTGCAATTCTCTGATAAGCAAAATGAGGATACGAAAATGTCCAAAAACTACTCTCATTGACTTCTTATGAGCTATTTTCTGGCTAAGAAATGGTAGCTAACTCCTAGAGCAGAAACCAGAGTCCTGTTATAAAAATCTTCCCTTCTAGAGACGTGGCACAAGAAGAAAGATTTCTTGAATGGCTCCAATCGTCCAGGTGTTCTCAGCACGCTGTGCTGTCCTAGGCCTCTGTATATTTGCACATGCTGCTCCCATTCCCCAGAAGGCCCTTCCCACATTATTCAGAACTCTACTCATGTCCCACCTCTTGTGAAAGCCTGTCTTAACCCCAAAGTGTAACTAAGGCACCATCCCCACCCTGCGTCCTCTAAACAATTTATACATGTTAGTAACACATTACACTATTACACTGTAATTTATGCATATTAGTAACACGTTACACTATTACACTGTAATTTATGCATATTAGTAACACGTTACACTATTACACTGTAATTTATGCATATTAGTAACACGTTACACTATTACACTGTAATTTATGACTTTTCAGTTTCCCCTCCTTGAGGAGTTGGACTAGGACTTATCTGACTTTGAGCTGCAGATGACACAGTGGTATGGAATGAATGAAAAAAAGGTGGCAGATAAAGAAGGAACACTAACTCTTCTTTGAGAACAAAACCTACCCTGCCTACCTAGCACAGTAATTTTTAAGTTCCAACCCTAAATGCATTTCTAATAAATATGTAGCAATAAAAGGGAAAATTAAAACAGTTAAAATAATGAGTAGAGGAATACAAAAATCTCTGATTTAACAAAAGAGGAAATAAAATGAGAGACTGTAAATAAAAGGTTATGAGCCATGGATCCCTCTCAAGAACGTGTGCAGGCATATGTGCTGTGGCTATGCTCGTGTGCACGTCCATGATGAGGGAAGAGGAGAGCAGCTCACAGATGTAAAGCCAGATCATGCTTAGGCAGTAGCAGGCCCTGAGTAGATGTTTCTCCTCATCTCCCTTGTCCAAGTAAAATGTCTGGGGCCCTGTAGGGAGAACATTAAATGGACCAGGAAAATATTATGAATGGAGAGAACATTAATAAGGAGTAATTTTTGAGAAAAGCAGAGATACCAAACATTGGCAAGTAAACCAAATTGCCAAAACATTGGCAGGTAAACCAAAGTTTTCAGGTACACAACCTGATCACAAAGACCAATTTGTATATGTCAGGGAAACCATCCTCGTTATGTTACAGCTTTACTCTGTGTAATGACTAGATATCTACATATAATCTCTGGAAGTGTGAGAAAGAAGTATGAGAAGGCAGCAAAAACTGCTTTTTAAATAATACTTCTTAATACTCAAATTAAGATAGCATCAAAGATGTTAAATAAGAAATACAAATTTTGTTATGAGCTACTATCAAATTCTTTGCTTGTATATGTCTTTGACATATATATGTCCTTGGTCTTCATCCAATTTTTTAAAAAAGCATTTATATAGCAAGAATCATTCAGAAATAATTAGGCAAGTAGAATCTGATGCTACATATATAGCAACAACATATGGAAGCACTCATAAATTACTGATGCACTCTTGCACTTCCACCCTCTAGTCCCTTATTGCTTAGCTTCTGACATTCATGTTGCCAATGTTGCTTACTTTCCTACCTTGGAAGCAACACTCATTTCATATCCTACTTCAAGTCTTGTCTACTTATCCGTGGGGAAAGAAGAATGAGATTTATCCTCCCTTACTGCCTGTTGTCAATCTTCTTAGCTGGTTCTTCCTATTCTCCTAACATTGAATGCCCAAAGTTTAACGAGTCCTTGGTCTGATTTCTCCACTGAACTCCAAATTCATATATCCAACTATCAATTCAAGTTTCTCCATTTGGGTACAACTCACTCTTGATACATCTAAAACCTGCTCTACCCAGACTTCCCCAACTTACTTAACCATCACTTCATTCTATCAGTCTTAGGCCAAAAATCTGGGAGAGATCCTTGGCTTTTGCACAGTATATCCAATCTAGCAGCAAATTTATAACCAGATCAGACTTCTCACCACTTTCAATGCTACCAGGTCCAAGCATCATAATCTCCCATCTGGATTATTTTAATAACGACCCTAGCTGCTTCTTCCCCAACATTTCTAAACATTATAGCCAGGGCAATCCTTTTCCGCTGAAAACTCTCCAATTGTCAAAGGTCTCCCAATCCCTTATAAGGACCAACAAAATGTATCTTCCTGTTGCCCTCCTGATAACATCTCCTAATCTTTTCTTCCCTCATTCTGTTGAAGTCACAGTATCTACCTATTCCAAGAACATGCTTTGCATGTTACTACCTTAGAACATTTACACATTATTCTCTGTCTGGAATTCTCTACTTTCAAAGATCCTGATGACCCATTCGTTACTTCCTTTACTCCAATACAGCTCAGTGAGGCTTCTTTTAACCAACCCTACTCAAAAAGTGTAATACTCCATTTCCTACACACACACACACACACACACACACACACACACACACACACACAGAGGCATGCATCTCCCGGGGAACTCCCAGTTCTCCTCTACTCTATTTTTCTGCATAGCATCTGATTTTTAGAGAACTGTATTACTTACACATTTATTTAGGTTACTGGCTGGCCCTCTATGCTAAAATATAAGTTCTAATAGGGTGAGAATTTTTGTCTGTGTGTTCCTGATGAACTACTATAAAGCCAAGCACTTAGGAGGCTCTCAGTTTGTATTTGTAGAATAAGTGCATAAATGAATAAACAAGTCAGAGACAGTTCAAGAGATGAAGGAACATCTAGAATAAAAAAAAAAAACATGGATCTCTGAATGACTTCACGGAGCAAACCATCCATCAAGAACTAGACTCCTCATGATTATTTTGTGAGAATGAGAAAAATATCTACATTATTCAAGGCATTGGATATTATATACTAGTATACATTGAAACACTGGTATCCGATAAAACTTTATGTCTTTTCATATTCCTAGTTCTGTCAGAGACACTAGTTTCCTCAAATATAAAATAAGGTGTTTAAACAAGATGATTTATTAGGTTCTCTAAATTCTCAAATTTTACATTCTTGATGTTTACACAACTGGCAAGGAAATAGCACCCAAGCAAGGTAATGAAGCAAAGCAGTCTAGATAATCCAGACAGACACTGTGGGTTTAAAAATATACTAAGAACAATTCTTTCTTAAACTAATAAAATCTCACCATATTTAATGGAGTAAACAAAAAGTGAACCAAATCTGCAGCACTGGGATTCTGAATATGAGACTTCAATTTGGCCTGCAACATTAGGAAAACAGAAAATAGATTACTATGAAGCAAAAGACAGACACTGAGAAAAGTCCAACATAGACTCAGAGGGGGTGGTCTTTTGTTTATTATTACTTTTGAGACAGAGTCTCACTGTGTAGCCAGGCTGGAGTGCAATGGCACGATCTCACTACAACCTCCACCTCTCGGGTTCAAGCAATTCTCCTGCCTCAGCCTCCTGAGTAGCCGGGATTACAGGCACGCACCACCATGCCCAGCTAATTTTTGTATTTTTAGTAGAGATGGGGTTGCACCATGTTGGCCAGGCTGGTCTTGAACTCCTGACCTCGTGATCTGCCCACCCCAGCCTCCCAAAGTCCTGGGATTACAGGTATAAGCCACTGCGCCTGGCAGTGGGGTGGTCTTTACCACCAGTTTCACTTTTAATATATTCATTGGCATGGATAGAGTGAGACTAGAGGTCATTGTTTTTCAGTCGACTTTCTTAGATATATATGTTTTTAAATTTGCTGTTTTTAATTAAAGGCAAATCAAAACATACATACCCTCCAAAAATCTATAAAAACAATTTTATTTCTTGATTTGATCAGAAACATTCTGACTAGAGTTTAATTTTTTCATTTATTTCTTCTAATTCTATGTACATAAATTTCACTTACCAGAAGGTTAAATCCATGTTTAAATTTTTGGAAACAGTCAAGAAATTCATCAGGAGGTGGAGGTTTTGCCCGCAGCGTTAAAACACCCTCTAATGAAATAAGTGAGAGGAGGAGGAGATCAGAGCAAAATCCAAGAAAATTTACTAAATACAAAAACAAAAACCACATTTACGTCTGTGAAGTTTAATGATCTCATTAGACGTGCCACCTAGTTACTGTGCTACATCTCACAGTCTGACTGTGACAACTGAGAAGACACAAGGTTTGAAACGGATTGCTCTATCCTCAGGCACTAGAAATTACTCATCTAATTCCACAAACATATATTATAGCCTTTCTTTGTGGCAGGCATTGTGCTTACCATTGTGAAGAGAATAAAAGTGAGAAAGCAATAAGCCCTGCTCTGAAGGGACTTAAAATCTAATAAAACACATGAGCCAGATAACTAACAAGAGATGTACCAATGGTTATGAGACAAGAATTACCTGGTTGGGGGATAAGAAAATGTATACTTAAAAGATAGATGGAGAGAGCAGGTTATAAGATGGGATTTGAAAAATCTGATCTAGGGCGATGTCGTGGGAAAAACATCATGTTTGGATAAAAACAGCATAAAACATGGAAAAAGCAAACTGCCTGTACATGAAACAACAAACATCAGATCAGAGACACATGAGAATGGAAGGGCAGATCAAGGTTAGATTGTGGATAACCTGATTTCCAGTGTGAAGAGCTGTACTTACATCAGTACAACATGTAACTAATATGCTTTACAGCAGAAGAATGAAGTGACTGACAGCTTTAAAACACTGTTCTCACAGCATGAAGAAGTAGAGGCTTGAAGACTGCTTAGAGAGCTGGGTTTAAAAAACGATAGTAGCTTGAACTGGAGGCCAGTTATGAAAATGAAAAGGGAAATAAGTGGATACAGAAGGTGTTGAGAAAATAAAATTGATGTTGGCTGCAAGCTAGAGAAGGAAGTCACAGAAGAACCTGCAGTTTTGAATCTGGGTGATCAAGAGGATAGTATACCTTTGATAGACAACTTCAAAAGCAGTAAGTGCTTTAAGATACTGGGAAGCAATAGTACTTAATTTTCGAATCTGTGGAGAGGAGGCACATCCATGTATTTACATGTGGAAGATAAAGCCAAAGGTCATAAGCTTGTTATATAAATATGTGCTAGAGGAAGAATTAGAAGTTATCTGTAATGAAAGGAAGATTTATTTACTATTTTATATCTTTCCATCTCTACCATTTTGTCAGAGGAAGAATAAACTTTACTTTCGTAATTTTAAATTTATACAGCTGAGGCCATTTTAAATAGCTGAACTGCAGCATACTTCAAATTTGTGTTTATATGGCTTTGTATGTGACCTGAATGTACTGTTTAAAGTTTTGCGATAAAAAATTCAAATCTGTTGAAACTTGTAAATATTTTAATAAGTCAGCCCTTTTAACACGTAATATGGTTCTAGTTTGTAATAGAATAAATCAGAATATAAGATGAATAGAGCTATGTCTTTCTTTAATAGATACTTAACTTTACAATCACCAATGGAAACTACAGACAGATGGTCACTACCTGAATCTCAGAGAGTCTCTGTGATTTAAGTAAAACCTTCCAGGATTTTTCTTCACTATAGCAGACTTATAATCAAAATGGACTCTTCCCTGGGTTCATCTTACTCTTTGCCTAAATCTCAGGTGCTACCCCAAAACTGGAAGAGGAACCCTAGTCCACAGTCAGTGAAGTTCTGCTATGCAGTTCATAAGGGCCAGAACTCTGTGTAGTACCCGAGTTCTAACCAGTCATTAGAAGATTAAGAAAATCCAACTTACCTCCTGGTCCTTTCCTTTTACTTTTCTTATTTTTCTTCCTTTTAGAAAGCTCAGAAAATGCTTCTGCTGCTTTTTGGAGTTTTGTGATAAAAAATTCAATGTCATCCAAAATGTGGTTTAAGATTTGCTGAAATTAAAAATTATAGAATAAAATAAGAAACAAAACTATTTTTGCCTTAGCTGTACACTGTTAGTAAATAATAGAAAGGTTTTTAAAAAATGAAATAGCCCACATGCAAATTTCAAGTTTATTACTAATTAATAACAAGAATCAAACTAAATACACCTGAAGCCACCACCAGACATTTGCATTTTTCTTCTTTTTTTTTTTTTTTTTTTTGAGATGGAGTTTCGCTCTTGTTACCCAGGCTGGAGTGCAATGGTGTAATCTTGGCTCACCACAACCTCCGCCTCCTGGGTTCAGGCAATTCTCCTGCCTCAGCCTTCTGAGTAGCTGGGATTACAGGCACGTGCCACCATGCCCAGCTAATTTTTTTGTATTTTTAGTAGAGACGGGGTTTCACCATGTTGACCAGGATGGTCTCGATCTCTTGACCTCGTGATCCACCCACCTCGGCCTCCCAAAGTGCTGGGATTACAGGCTTGAGCCACCGCACCCGGCCTACATTTTTCTTTAGCTTACTTTTGCTCTATGTTCAACGTTATCAAGGAAGCATTCACAGTATCTACTCAGATTATTATTTTCAATTACTTTAATTTTCTCAGTGTTCTCCCATACAAAGTTAAGAAAAAAATTCTAAACAATGTTTTGTTAGAAGAGCACTAAGCATTTTTGTTTTACTGATAAATGTCCCAATAAAGCACTGACAATATTATTTCATAGAATTAAAGGTATACAGAATGTTGTGATAACCTAATAGCTAGTCTATGATACTAAGCATTAATAAGTGTTTCCACATGACAAAATAGAATTAATGATGCACTATGTTTTCAGAGATCACTGGAATGAATCTGGTTTCCTTATACACTATAGTCTTAGTTGCCTTTCTCCAGTATGTGTGAAACTTGACATTCTTCTAATTTAAGACTAGAAATTGGGGTTAAACTTTTAAGTATAAAATGTAATAGTGTTATATAAAAATTGAATTCCAAATTTCAAATTCCTTTCAGTATTTGTTTATCCATAAGCTGGTAACGTGTAAAGTATAAGAAGTAATTACATTACCACCATATTTTATAACCAGAGCATTTACAGAATTCTCATTCTGTAAATGACTATAGAGAAATGAAAACAAATGTAGCATTGTCTGTTATAAAAGCATTACGATTTACAAATCTATCCTTTCAAAATGCCTCTTAACTTTTATCTTTTAGGCATTCTAAAATACATTGTTAATAAATGCCAAGAAGACATATTAAAAAATATTTCAATTGTGAATTACAAACTATAATGAAAGAAAAATTGTACCATTCCTGTTAATAATTCAGCGTAAGTTTCTATGTAAACTAGTCTACTACCTAAATACTGGCATAAAAGCAAAAACAGTTAGTGAAAAAAATAAATCAAACAACATGACCATCACTAGAAACAGAAAACATGGTTTCTATAAAACATCTTTATTTAAATCAACTTCATTTTCTTGTGAACTGTTTTTCCTCTTAAAAAAAAGTCAATAATCTAAAAATGACTGCTGTACTTACCACGTCTCTGTCAATTCGGGCTGCCATCATCTCAGGCGTTTCTTCCTGCTCATGATACTGCCTTGCTTTCTCAACTACAGAAAGGAAAGTCATAAGTCCTTCAATCATTTACTCACACAATACCACTACAGTGAATTAAAACATAAAAATTAGTTAAAGAGGAGGACCGTCTGCAAAAGGGAACTGGATACACAAGTGAAAACTGTGCTCATCGTCCGTGAAATGCATCCTTATCACCACTAACAAAAGCGGTTGGGCAGAGCTTAAGTATCGGTCCTCCTGCCTCTATGATGTTCATTTACCGTGTAATATCGGTTCTATTCTCTCTCTTCCCTGAGTGAGCTACCTGTAGAACTAACCTTAACTTAGCATCCTTTAATTCCCATACAAGCCTGAAATATAAACCAGCTGCTAAGCTTTTATTTCTCAAAACTGGTCAACTAAGTTCTAACACAACAGAACAGTAATTTTCATACATTCCAACACTATGACTACAAGAAAGCTTTGGGAGTTCTGACAGCAGAGTGCTTCTTAAAATTCTAGTGTAATTAAGCTTAAAACCCACAGTGTTGGCCTCGTTAATTTTAAGCTACATGATTTAAAAGCAGGCAGGAATTTTTACATTAAAAAAAATATGTCTTAAGACCATTCAAAATGTTAAGGCTGCTCAGTTGGCTAGAACATGCTATTAATCATGAAGTTATTATCATGAACTCCTTCCTGGTATGAGTCAGTTAATACTGCCTCTAAACAGAGAGTTGTTACAAATATTTCATGGTAGAAAATTTTTTTTAAATATATGGACGGAAAAACAGAAATGAAACATCACAAATGGAAATACGAGTCATGATGGATACGTCATCATGACTCATAACCTTCAATACAGAGAACTGCAAAAAATACCGAAAACTTCATATTGCTATTCTTCCTTTACACTATCTGTACCTGTAACTGGAACACTTGCCAACAAAAAAAAAAAAAAGAAAGAAAGAAAGAAGAAATCACTGTGTCTTATGAAACTTAATTAGCGGCTGTTAACTACTTTAAGATAATTAAAATTTCTATCTGTGAAATCTTGCCAGTTAGCTACTATTCTACACATGGATTAGCTGCTACCTTGGCTATAATGGACTGCCACAGAAAGTACTAAGTTGAGGTTGAAATAGCTGTTAGGAACTCCAAAGAGTTCCCAAAAAGTATCATTTGGAGGGCACAGTGTGGAGGAGATATGGTACTTCTTGGACTCTGTCAGGTCTGAGACACAGCTAGGAACCCCAGTGCCACTGGTGCTATCCCACAGTGATCACTTTTGGAAGTCAGGGGTAGATATACCTCAGGGATTCAAATGAGGAGCAGCTCAGCCTGAGTCAGCCAGGGCCTTCAGAGGAACCAGAAAGATCCTCCTTTTGAGGTGCTTTCTAACTAAAAACTGGACTGGATCGAGGCCAAACCTGATATAGTAAGTCTTCTGTTTGGTCTAGTAGTAAATTAGAAGTTCTGAAAGCCTTGTCTCACTTAGTTTAAACAGATGACATGGCAGAAATATTTCGGATAAAATCTAATGAAAGCTCAGAAATCCCTAGGGATAAATTCTCTCTTTGTTATAATTATATTAGGTTCTGCCAGGCACGCTGGCTCACATCTGTAATCCCAGCACTTTTGGAGGCTGAGGCAGGCAGGTCACGAGGTCAGGAGATCAAGACCATCCTGACTGACATGGTGAAATCCTGTCTCTACTAAAAACACAAAAATGAGCCAGCCATGGTGGCATGCGCCTGTAATCCCAACTACTCAGGAGGCTGAGGCAGGAGCATGCTTGAACCCAGGAGGCGGGGTTGCGGTGAGCTGAGATGGCACCACCGTACTCCAGGCCTGGGCAACAAAGTGAGACTTTCTTTAAAAAAAAAAAATTATATTAAGTTCGACATATATGTTTACAGGTTTGTTGAGAATGCCCGTAAAGCTGTCTCATCCTTCCTTTCCTTCTGCACCTCTTCGTCGAAACGATAACAACATAAACATCCTAAGTACACAACAGTACAGAATGCAATAAACTACTGTCTTTTAAACACATTTTAAATACAAAACATACCAGTAGAAATTTACATAATTTTTGAAAACAGAAACTGTTATAAAACTAAACCACATAGCTCTGTTAATTAACTTTTTTTAATGAATGCATCAAAGAGTTCTTTTTTGCATAAGTTTGGTAGCTCAGCTTTTCCTTTAATGGAAAAAACCTTTAAGAATACAAGAAGCCTAAATAACACAGAAAACAATTCAGAAAAAAAATGAACTCAATTTGGCAAAATGAGAACCACAAATTATGCTCACTACTCTGTGGTAGGTACTACCGTTAACATTATTTACTTTCAGATTCACAGCAATCCATGAATTATTCATCCCCATTTTAGAGATGAGGCTGAAGTACAGAGATAACTTCCCAAGACCACACGGGTAGATGGGTCTTGCTTCAGAGCTTTCACGCTGCACATCCAAAGTAGAGTTCAAGGTCACTCATTTTTAGAAATGAATTATATTGTTTAACTACAGTGCCAGGTAGTCTGTATGAATAATACTTCACTGGATAAAGAATAAGAAAGTTAAGAAGTCCCACTGGAGTAGAAGCAAAAGAATGAGGCTCTAGAGCTCACCAGAGTCAAGCCTGCTGAATCACAATTTATTCATCCTTAAAATGAAGAGACCAGACAAAATATATTTTAAGGCATTTTTTAGTTATAAACAATTTTAGATTCTAGCAAAATATTCTAACATAAAAAGTAACACTAAGTTCTATGCTACTATTGCTTTTAATCAGAATGCCAAGGCGAAATGATGCCGCACACATAGGGCCCGCTTGACAAGTACAGCTGTACTTGCTGGACTTGTCTCCACGGCCAACAGCCAACCACTGTCCTGACAACCTTTCCATGAATGTGACAAATTGTCCAAAAAGGAACTGTAGTTACAGAATAACAAATGAAAATAATTTGAAGTACAATCTTTAAAAAAACCTGTACATATTTTGGTACCCATTTTGATACCATCTTTTTAATTGTCAATCAGGTGTAACTTCCTCTCTTAGCATTAAAAAAATAATGATGCTAACCCTACTACCGTATTTATTAAATGGTGGGTCTAAACACTTACAGATAATAATCTTCACAAAATTCCAGGCTTAACTTTCTTTTATCTAAGATTTGATTTTTTAAAACTAACCTCAAGCTTCAGTTCTGAAATCAGCCTCAGAATTTGAAAGCAAGAACTATGTACCAACCCAAAGTAAGCGTTCAATAAGTACTAATTCTAGGAAGACTCACAGTCCCCTTGGTCGGCTGCCCATGCAGACCAGGCTGCCACCCGACTTCTAACGTCCACCTGGGTGACGGTTCCAGGGGGTGCAGGGGCAGGAGCTCGGGGTGGAGGTGGTATACCAGGGTCGGCGTTGGAAATCATCCTTAAAAAGATGAAAACAAATAGAATGTTTACCATCTCTATTTCTATAACATATCAATTATCTCAGCTTGTGGTACTAGTTATTAAAATTCAAAAACAACTATATCAAGAGGCTATAAGGGTTTCCTAAACATTCCTTACTATGCATATTTATAAATGCATATGAAACACAGACATAAAATAACAGCTGAAAACTAGGTTGATTTTCTTTCTGAGTCTTCATGTGACTTGGAAGGGCCACGGACCAATCACAATCCTACTGTCTAGCTTGTCAATCCTGTTTCCCTAGGATACCTTCTCTTAAAGCGCCACTCCTCTTTCATGACCCTGACTTCCAACACAAGTGAAGCCATGTCAGAGAAAGACCGAAAATATGGAGAGAAAAGGAGCAAACACACTGACAAACTTGGGAGAGCAAACGTGTTGAGTCTCCAGGTTACGATCTACAAAATAGAGTCATATACTTCCATAGAAAATAACTTTTCTAACCCTTTGTGGGGAAACGCCTTAGAAACAAACCCATCAATTCTACCCTGTGTGGTGACTTCTCTTAGTGCTCTTACCTCAGGGCGTCAGGCCTCCTCTTCTGTTTCCCGCCTTTACTGTCACTGATTGCACTTTCAATGTCCTCACTAATTAGGTTTGCCTGCAAGGAGACACAGGTTACCTGGAAGTTGATAGATTTTTCTGCGTCTTGATATGTAGCTTAAAACAGAAAAAGGGATTGTTCCTTGTCTGAATCAACAAGTGTCTTGATGCAAAAAGTCTTTTCACAAAAATCTTGCAAACATGACTCTTGTGGTTTTTATAATGGTGAACTTTATAATGACAAGATTTTAAAACTGAGGAAATTTTTAAAGATTATCTTTAAAAAAAGCTATTCTTAAATAAAGTCAATAATAGAAAGGATATGCACACACCAAAAATAAAACTGTGTAAAAATCTCTAATAGGGAAGAAATTAAGGCGTTAGGCACTCTCACACCTACAACAGAGTTCCTTCCCTTTCTCACCCTCGCGATCCACTGGACACCCATTAACCCAGCAAGACAAATCTTTGGGTTTAAGGCAAATCCACTACACTCATGAGATAAACTCCAATACGAGGTTGTACCTCTTTAAATAACCACTTTACTTTGTGACTCCAGGTAAAAGTTAACTTTCTGCGAACAATTTTTCTAACAAGAACATTCAGTTGGGTTTTTCTTGAGGATCAACATGAGATTAGGAGATACGGAGTTTTTGTTTGGTTGCAAAGTTTGTTTAGAGCCAGGAATTATTACTCTGTATTAGATTGTTGATGAGATGCACCATCTATGCTTATGCCTCTTTGTTCTCTATAATTATGATTTCTCAAATATGTATGCTGTATTTCTTTTACAGTAAGCATTGATAATTATAAAATTAGAGAAATGATCGGATACTTAAAAGAGCATCTCATCAGTTCCTTCTAGTTAATAAAACTGAGGAGTACTTGTAAGAATGGGCCTGGCCAGGGTCACATTGCTAGTTATATGAGTGCCAATGCATCCCACTCCAGTGTGGCTTCCTAAGAGCATTTAGTTTCAATAAGACAATACAAACATCATGTCAAAGGCTTTCTGTTACACAGGATATTAAAACTAAAGATGAAAAAAATATGTAATTAATTTTTTTTTTTAATAACCCAAAACAAAAACTGAAGATGCCTGGGAATCCTCAACTTCGTATACTGGGGCTGTTACATTTCCAAGAAAAATTGTACTGCAAAGGTGGGCAGAAGCATTGCATGAAGTCCTATACAAAGAAACTTTAAAAATCAAAAGCGATATTGTACAATGAGCTATATAAAAGAAACTGTATTTTTCATTGCCTTTATATTTTTAACCAGCCAAGGGAAAAATGCCTCATATGCAGAGTATAAAACTAATGAATAAATGCACATAGTGCTTAGTGGTATGTGAGCTTTTGGGGTTAGGACAAAACTATATTCAGTAAATCCATTTTGAAACCATTACCATTACCAAAATGTGTTTTAACTTAGACCTCTGGTTTATAAAACGTTTGAATTAAATTTCACTATATGTTAAAGCAAAATACTCCCTTTAATATTTGTTGATTATATCTAACCTTTCAAAAATTATAATATACTTATGACTTTCAAATGGCACTATACAAAAATCTGATGAATATCACTTATACAAATTACCTAAATGCCAGTTCTTTTCAAAGAAGATTTTTAGAAAGTCATCTATGATGTAAATGAAAATTAGAAGAAAATTATAAAACACACTTTACAGTCAGTCTTACTTTATCTATCATGTTTAAATGTCAAAAAATATGGAAAAGATCGAGTGACTGTCCTAATCTCCTAGAGTTTCTTTTAAAATAAAATTACATGGATATTCTATAATATATCATCAAAATGTTAAATGACTGCTTTGGCAAAGTATCAATTAACATAAACTGATTTCTCTTTCAAAGAAAACAACTCAGGAAATAAACACATTCAAGGTTGAAGATAACTTCTAAGGTCCAATAAAGCATCACAAATTATAATCATTTGAAATTACACTGTACTTTCAAATAGAAACTTTCAGGAGCTAGCCTGTTATTACCGGTTCAACTATTTTCACATATCATTTGGGAATTACAAATCTTGAGCAATGATTCAAGCCACATAATTAAGTGGTGAACTTTAAATCAATATCGTGGGAAATGTCTAAGTGCTTCGTTGCAGTAATCCGTGCTGTGTCATTAGTGCAGAATAAATTAGGATTGCATGATTTCTGAACAATCAATTTTTAATTATAAGGCACTTGATGTGAATTGAATATATTATCTACCCTTTTTAAAAATAAACAGAATGCATCTTATTTTTAAGAGACACAGTCTTATTCTGTTGCCCAGGCTGGAGTACAGAGGGGTGATCAAAGCTCACTGTAATCTCTAACTCTGGGTTCAAGAGATCTTCCTCTCTCAGTCACCTGAGTAGGTGAAACCACAGGTGTGTACAACTACATCTGGCTACTTTTAAAAATCTTTTTAGTAGAGACTGGGTCCTGCTATGTTGTCGAGGCTGGGCTTGAATTCCTGGCTGCAAGCCACCTTACAGCCTTGGCCTCCCAAAGCACTGGGATTACAAGTGTGAGCCACTGTGTTTGACCCTGATTTTATTAATATCACCCTAATTTCTTTATTTACCTGCCATGGAAATCCTAAGGAAGATACTAAGATATTTGTTTTCCTTATGAGTTTCTCAGAAACTAAAAATCTAGTCCCTAATATCCAGATATATTATCAAAATAGGTAATTCGAAAGCTGCCAGAACATCTGCTTAAAGAGGGAAAAAAGTTCACCATTCTTTTACCTTAACCTCATCACACTGGAAGAGATGAAGATCTGGCTTGTTCTGGGTTGGCTCTTTGCATACCAGGGCAAGAATTGAATCATAGCTGCATGAGTGCATCACAGCTTGGCAGTGCTGGATTGTGCTTAGAGGAAAATTCTCCAGTTCATTCTATAAATAAAGTAAATGTTTTATTTTGACAAATTTCTACCCATTTTCAAACAATCTGACCTGATTATAAACATTAACATTTGTGAGGCTTTCTTGAAAATAAAATAGTATACATTTTACAAACTTGCCTTCGATTCTAAATCAATCAGGCTCACAGCTCTGTCGTCTACTTGAAGAATCATATCTTGAGTCCATACTTTGCCCTTGGCATCAAGCAATTTCAGCTTCCTTATTCCATCATCCACAGTGATCATAGCATCTTTCCGATCCAGGACAAAGGTAGTCAAGTGCTTATGATTTGCAAAAAGGAAAAAGATTTATAACACAAACACATACAGCCTCTTAGCACATATTTTCCAAAAGAAAATCAAATTAACCTGAGTCAGCTAGCAGAGAAGGACAAACACAAGTACTCTTAAAACTTCATGACTATCTTATTAAGAGAATAAAGCCAAATTGGTTTTTGTTGAATAGAAGAAACAGCATTTTGACTCATAAGACACCTAAATCTGTTTCATATTGAGACATGTTGAACTACATAAACAATACATAAAAACAAATTCTAAACAGCTTAAATAATATTCCCTTAAAATATACTCCACCCCTCCTTTTTTTTTTTTTTTGAGACGGACTTTCGCTCTTGTTACCCAGGCTGGAGTACAATGGCGCGATCTCAGCTCACCGAAACCTCCGCCTCCCGGGTTCAGGCAATTCTCCTGCCTCAGCCTCCCGAGTAGCTGGGATTACAGGCACGTAGCACCATGCCCAGCTAATTTTTTGTATTTTTAGTAGAGACGGGGTTTCACCATGTTGACCAGGATGGTCTCGATCTCTGACCTCGTGATCCACCCGCCTCAGCCTCCCAAAGTGCTGGGATTACAGGCTTGAGCCACCGTGCCCGGCCCTTTCCCCCTTTTTTATACTCTATTATGTTTATTTTAATGCTGAACATAGCAGCATTTAAATAGCAGGCTATCTGTATGACAGCTTTAAAACTATGGACACTGATTGTAGCAACAGCATAATTCTAGTCTATAGCAACTGTCAAACTATTCAATCCACTAAAACCACTTACTGAAACAAAACTGTTTAAATTTAATTAAGCATGCTTGAGGTAGGTAGAAAACTGAAAATAAGAGCAATTTAAAAATTACTTCCCTGCTTAAATATTTTCTATTATAAGCAGAGGTCATCTAGCAAGATTCTAATCAGGAGCAAATATCTTAAAAGATAGCAGAGCAAAAACTAAAAAATAAACTGTTATTTAACTAGAACTAATAATAACTTTAGTTACACTAAAAACTAAACTGTTCAATGAAACTATCAAAGGCTTAATTTCAAGAAGATTCTATAGTACAAAGTAGAAGCCCTGATCCTATTTTAAATGAAATAAGAGTGGCAATAATAAATGAGTAGTAGTTATGATTTTAAATCTTTCTTTATGAAAACAGACCATGAAACATGTTTTAAAAAATCTAAACAAAAAGGTCAATGCAACTTAAAAGACATCGTAAAAATGAAATAAAGCATAATTCTGATTTAACTTCCAATTTCTATGTTCCTCAAGGGTCACTCTAACTACTAGCAAACACCAAAGTGTCTTACTTCAACACGGTATTGAGATATATCTGACACACTGCTGACACTGTCCCGTGCATAATTCTTCCTTTGCTCTGAAAGAGAAATTGAAAAAGCCATTAGAAACAAAGTCTAAGAGACTGAAGTTCATATATTGGTATCATGTGGCTATCTCTAAAACTAGTCTATCTCACATATAAATACAGTAGTTGACAAGTCGCTATTGTGTGGTGTATCTGAAAACACTCATTATTCACAGTAAATCTAAAAACCACAAGAAATTCTAAATAATAGGCAAGAACAATTTGATCCACTATACATTTTTAGAATTCCAAAGGTTAACAAGATTATAAATATTATAAGAAAAAAAGTTATTTTATCTAATGGATTTTTTTTTAACAGTTTGGGACTTACTGTTTGACAGTTTACAACTGGCTTATAAATTTTATGTGTTACTGTACTGATACAAAAATATGATTGCAAATACTGTCATAGATACTGTATTATATGAGTTAGACTACATTATTAAAATAATAGGCTCTACAAGGAACATGTCCTTTCACAATACCCAAACTGGGACAGTGTTGGAGGAGATTTAAACCATGATTCAAGCACACAGCTTGCCCTTCAGCATTAACAGTTTTCACACATCTGCAGAACACACAAATGTGATACTTAGTCTCAGAAATATAAGTTGATAGGGAAAATAAGGAAGTCAGGTAGAAAGTTATCGCACCAAACTGCTTAAAAAGCAAAAAGAAACCTTTAATTTTCTTTTCTGAAATGCTGCAAAACCAAAAACTAACATTAAAATATAAAATGTATGTGGGCAGTATTTGGTATTTGTTAGGCTCTTTTTAAATTTTGCATTTTTAAAAAATATGGATCACTTGATGAATTTGCGTGCCATCCCTACAAAGGCCACGCTAATCTCTGTATCAGTCCAATTTTAGTATATGTGCTGACAAAGTGAGCACTATTTGTTACTTTCTAATCAAGCAACTTACTTATTTGTAAATTAAGAGTTGCTCCATTTCTTCCAAATGGAATGCTATGATGAAAAATTACTTTAAGGGGGAATGATCAGATTTTTCCTTCCAGCTTTGGCTCTGTCACTAAGCAGGAAACTAAATTTGGACAAGACACTTAATGCCACGGGCCTCAGCGCCCTTACTGTAAAATCAAAGTGTTAAACAAGGTCAAACCGAAAGACCTTCAGGCGTTAACGTTCAGACATATAGATACACCTTAGCTCGCCCAGCAGCCTATGTTTTTTTGCAAATCTATTTCTTTCAGTTAATAGAGATATTCTATAGTAAATAAGTTGTTTGAAAAGTTCTGCTGTACATAAAAGCAGAGCAAGTACAAAAATACATAGTGCATATGAACATATGCAGACTCAGAATGTTAACACAGAAGTTTAAGAAAACTTTAACAAATTTTCATTGTACAACACATACGAAAGTAACTTTTCATTTATATTTACTTTTAAAATTTAGTTTAAAATCCTTACAACAATATTACTCTGATATTCCAATACATTCCATTTTTGCTTTTGCAGCATTAAATTACTTAATAAAAACAGATGCACGACAAAATTCACTCTCTGCTACCTTTCTTTTTTTGTTTGGATGATGACCTGAAGAAGTATGATCCATCTGGTCCTACCAAAATAATGTCATCAAAAAGAAAGATCTGGTTTCACCTAAAATTTTCTCTCCCAATATAACAAAACATAAACCTTCACTTACAGGATTGTATTCTATATATTTTTAAAAAGTGAGCAACCATGATTTTTCTGATTAGTTCATGAGGATTAATCAGTGCGAGATATTAACACATGGATAACTGTCCTTGGGAGAACCATTATGACTCTTGTAATACAATATATAATTCAGAAATATATTTCACAAAAACACACCTAGAAATAATCACTATTTCCGAGTCACTGGTTCACCATACGCTAACACAATTGTCTATGATAGATTCAGAGCAGGAGGGTTCTGCTTGTTTTGATCTGACCTTATAGGACAGTAAAAGAAATGGCAGTGGCTGCCATGATACCCAGTCATGATATGGCAGCTCCTGCATGTTCAAATGCTTGTCTTTCAGGTAAGTGATTGGCAAATGCAGTTGAAGATCTGAAATACTGTGTGATTCTACTTAGATATTCTCATTATGAAGCATTAAGAATTTATCCTTGACCGCCCAATTTCCTAACACATAGTTTCCCAATCCCACAGAAACATAATATACAGAAATGGAAAGAAAAACTATATGATAGCATTTTAAACAGTAAGACATAACTGATAACTCTGACTGCCTAGAAGATATGGTATCATTTCTAATATTCCAAATTAAAAACCCACTTTAGGAATTCCTATGCTGCCCTCTCTCCTATGTTGCACAATAAACAAGTAGTATAAGAAACTACCTTCTAAAGTTCGTAAAAATGTATAAATGCCACAAAATGGATTTATAAATAAACTAGTAGTTCCAGTGATTTTTAAGTCAATGCACAAGTAAAGGTTAATATTAACATTTTAATAGGCAATTTTGAAAGAAATTTCCTAATACATTTCTTTTTTATGAGAATCATATGGATTCACAAGAACTGGTATAAATAGTAATTAGCTCCTAAGCTAAAAATCTCACGAAAGCCTTAAAGCAGTCTAAAAGCCTAACTAATATCTCTTGACACTACTCAAGATGAATCCTCTAATGGAATTCAACACTTTTGCTAATAGTGGTTCTCATCCTCAGCTGCAAGATGGCATGAACTTTATAAAACAGTGTGCAACTCATTTACTTCATACCATCTCTTTAAGCAGAACATTTTCCTTCCTAAATTAAGAATGTTGGCCGGGTGCCGTGGCTCATGCCTGTAATCCCAGCACTTTGGGAGGCCGAGGCGGGTGGATTACGAGGTCAAGAGATCGAGACCATCCTGGTCAACATGGTGAATCCCCGTCTCTACTGAAAATACAAAAAATTAGCTAGGCATGGTGGCGCGTGCCTGTAATCCCAGCTACTCAGGAGGCTGAGGCAGGAGAATTGCCTGAACCCAGGAGGCGGAGGTTGTGGTGAGCCGAGATTGGGCCATTGCACTCCAGCCTGGGTAACAAGAGCGAAACTCCGTCTCAAAAAAAAGAATGTAAATATGGTCAAATGGTACATTAAATAATAAATAAACGGATAAATATGGCAGTAGGGTTTTAGGTTTCTACTATTACAAGCTGCTCAACTCCCAACGTAAGAGTAAGCCTATTTCCCCTTCTCCCGGCCCCGCCTTTCCTCTCAGTCAATTAGAGTTAGGATGAAACTTACTTGCCTATAGAACCACTGGTTGTGTTTTCACTATTTTGCCTATTACCCTTCATGTCATGGCCCAGAATGTACCACTCCAAACAGACAGAATTAGGTGAATTCAGTAACCGATGATGAAAAATCTTTACATACAACTTTAGTATTATATACTGCTTAAAAATTGATATTCAACTCCCAGATCAGAAATACTAAATTTAGTTTTCATATGTTCTTTAATGAGTAGAACTACTGCTATAAAAAGCATCCAGATGTTGGTATTCCCTTAACTGCATTGTTGTTTATGCATAATATAACAATATTTGAAACAGCTAATATTCGGAAATACAGCTAACTTTTAGAAATTTCTTTCTCTAAAAATAAAAATCTTCCTTAGAAAGTAAGGATTTGGCCATTAACAAGAAAAAAAGTAACATAAAAGCAGCTGCTGAGTATTCTTCTCTCTAAATAAAACAATGGATTAGAGCTCATATTACTTTATACTTTAAAAAATTTCAAATACAGTAAAGGAGAATTCCTTTCCCACCAGTTTAGTGACTCATTATATTTACTCCATAGAGTATCTGAACCAATATACCATTACGAAAAATAAAATCATTTCTTAAAAACTACATTATTTTAAAATTAATTTTATTGGCCTGTTCAACAAATTATTAAAATGGCTTATTTCATGAGTTAAAAAGGAGCTTTAAAATTTTCAGCTAAGTTGGGAAAACTGCCAAACTTGTCTTTTGAGTCGTCTGCTCTGCCACACTCTCTCAAGCTGTATTTTTGATTCTAACATTTAGCTCAATTTCCTGATACTCTTTATTGAATTATAAGCCATTTGCATCTTAAGAATTTCCCCAAAAAACACTTTGTTCTGTAAAAAAAAAAATTCAGGGTTTTCTCTAAGTAAAATACGTACCATAAATAACAAGGATGGGCAAGAGAGAAACAGGTTTTAACTCTTAATTGCTATTTGAATGTGTAAGAAATTGCTTGGGATTTAATTATAACAATTAAATAGAGAGACTAGCTCCAAACCGAGATCAGGAGCTAGAGAGAGACAAGAAGAGAAAGAAAGCTAGGTATGAAAAGGACAACATAAAGTATGGACATGCTGAAAGAGTCAGAAACACAGCTATGAGAGAGTTGAACCAAGCACTGTGTAGAAGTAAAGTTTACAGTGAACCCAATTATACAAAAATTCACCATGCAGTGTACAGGTTACTTATACTCACTTCTTACCAGCACCTCCTTGAGAAGAAAAAACCAAGCAGTAAGAACACAAATACATTTTTCTATTTGTTAACCTCACAAAGCAGTTTAAACTTAAAGTTAAAAATCAGACTTAAGGCCAGCATGGTGGCTAACACCTGTAATCCCAGTACTTGGGAGGCTCAGGCAGGCAGATCACTTGAGATCAGAAGTGATCTCAAGAGATCACTCCTTGACCAGCCTGGCCAACATGGTGAAAAGCTGTCTCTACTAAAAATACCAAAATTAGGTGGGTGTGATGGCACATGCCTGTAATCTTGGCTACTCAGGAGGCTGAGGCAGAAAAATCACTTGAACTCAGAATGTAGGGATTGTAGTGAGCTGAGATTGTACCAGGGCACTTCACCCTGGGTGACACAGCAAGACACTATCTCAAATAATAATAATAATATAATAAAATAAGACTTAAAAGAGTACCTGTCTGTCATACTGATCCAATATTATTTGTCTGCCCAATAATAAAATCTCAAAGTTAACTGTAGATGTTGTTAATGACGACGAAGTACTACTA